TCTGAAAAAATATACGGTTTTAATATTTACAAAACAGGTTGATTCATGATTATTTTTCAAAGTACTAGAAATTTAAATAGACTGAATGTAATGCTAGTCATCAGTCAAGACAACACATAAAGAGAAGAGAACCTAAATTGCTCCTTGACACATTTTTTATGTCAAAATGATTCTTTTTTCTTATTCATCTCATGCAGCAGAAGCTTTAGCCATCATAAAACAGCAGCATTGAATGGCCATAACCTTGTTTCAAACGCTCCTTGATGTCTCTTAAGAGGGGAATTTTATTCACAGGAGCATTTTCAAAGACATCATCTGTGCTGCACAGTGGGTTATATTCCGTTCACATGATGTGCATCTGATGGGTAAGGACGTTCGCCTTAAAGGTGCTGCAGTGGCCCTGTCTTTGTTTAGGTCATTTCAGAATAACCACAATACACGGGCTCATGGCTAATGTGCATGAATGCCACTATTCCCCATAGCCGGGAACATTGGAGATCACTCCAGAATCCAGCTACTGCTTCTGGGTGCTCGTTGAATCCAAACTGACTGTATTCCTACAGAAATCTTGACAGTACAGTGTTGAAAACACCGTTATTATTTCTTATGTTCATATATCTTCAGCTGGGTTTGTGCAGACGGTCCGGGGAGAGCTCGGTTGGATTTTCGTGTCAGTGGCTGTGATTGACGGCTGATCTTGGCAACCCTGGTAAGCAACGTGTTTATGCATGCATGGGACGAATCCCTGTCTGTGTGGGTTTGTGTCAGTACTAGTGGAAAAAAAAGAAAACCGTGTGAATCACCGTGGTGAAACATGTGGCGCTGACTGAAAGCTGACCTGGTGGTTTCAGAACTCGGGGCTCTTTCTGGGACTTCTCCTCACAGAAACTGACTCAGATGGAATGATTCTATGACATGATCAATACTACAGATACACTATATTGCCAAAAGTATTTGCTCACCCATCCAAATTATCGGAATCAGGTGTTCCAATCACTTCCATGGCCACAGGTGTATAAATTCAAGCACCTAGGCATGCAGACTGTTTTTACAAACATTTGTGAAAGAATGGGTCGCTCTCAGGAGCTCAGTGAATTCCAGCGTGGAACTGTGATAGGATGCCACCTGTGCAACAAATCCAGTCGTGAAATTTCCTCGCTCCTAAATATTCCACAGTCAACTGTCAGCTGTATTATAAGAAAATGGAAGTGTTTGGGAACGACAGCAACTCAGCCACGAAGTGGTAGGCCACGTAAACTGACGGAGCGGGGTCAGCGGATGCTGACGCGCATAGTGCGAAGAGGTCGCCAACTTTCTGCAGAGTCAATCACTACAGACCTCCAAACTTCATGTGGCCTTCAGATTAGCTCAAGAACAGTGCGCAGAGAGCTTCATGGAATGGGTTTCCATGGTCGAGCAGCTGCATCCAAGCCATACATCACCAAGTGCAATGCAAAGCGTCGGATGCGGTGGTGTAAAGCACGCCGCCACTGGACTCTAGAGCAGTGGAGACGCGTTCTCTGGAGTGACGAATCGCGCTTCTCCATCTGGCAATCTGATGGACGGGTCTGGGTTTGGCGGTTGCCAGGAGAACGGTACTTGTCTGACTGCATTGTGCCAAGTGTAAAGTTTGGTGGAGGGGGGATTATGGTGTGGGGTTGTTTTTCAGGAGCTGGGCTTGGCCCCTTAGTTCCAGTGAAAGGAACTCTGAATGCTTCAGCATACCAAGACATTTTGGACAATTCCATGCTCCCAACTTTGTGGGAACAGTTTGGAGCTGGCCCCTTCCTCTTCCAACATGACTGTGCACCAGTGCACAAAGCAAGGTCCATAAAGACATGGATGACAGAGTCTGGTGTGGATGAACTTGACTGGCCTGCACAGAGTCCTGACCTCAACCCGATAGAACACCTTTGGGATGAATTAGAGCGGAGACTGAGAGCCAGGCCTTCTCGTCCAACATCAGTGTGCGACCTCACAAATGCGCTTCTGGAAGAATGGTCAAAAATTCCCATAAACACACTCCTAAACCTTGTGGACAGCCTTCCCAGAAGAGTTGAAGCTGTTCTAGCTGCAAAGGGTGGACCGACGTCATATTGAACCCTATGGATTAGGAACGGGATGTCACTTAAGCTCATATGTGAGTCAAGGCAGGTGAGCAAATACTTTTGGCAATATAGTGTACTTCATTCAGCCCTGGGAGCCGATCAATGAAGCCGTTATTCTCACATTTGATCAAATCCCCCAAAGATTACTGACAGCTGTGTGACTAAATCTACATCGCCCCTCCTACTAGTCTCGTTATTTAACACATTTTTACCGTTAAGCCCAAAATTCGGCGTGCCAGTGACAAATTAGAGGATTTTTTCATTTGACTGAAGACTTTCTTTGGCTCCGAATGACATCAACAAGAATCTACTGGTCCACGAAAGATCCCAGTGGAGAATTATGCAAATCTTGTCGGCAATTGTAAGAGCGTTTTAATTGCTGTGATGACAGTTATTCTTTGCCAATTACTCTCAAAAAAGCTGATTAGATAGATACTGGACATGTCAGCTGGACATTATGTGCCATTCATGTCACAATTTGTTTACTGTGAAAAATAAATTCATTTAATATTTAAAATCAGAATGAAAAAAAGTCTTGATCCATCTATAATTTTATTGAAACATTGCAAACATAAGTGGAAATTGAATGTATGAAGAAAGCAGAGTTTTCAGCTTTTGCTTCAAAGTAAATATTTTACATTAAAACCTGTTTCTTTTTTTTTTTTACAGAATCTGAACCTTTTCAGACAGGCTTTCCTGAAATTTCTTTTAGTAGTCCTCAGGAATAGCTGTCCAGGTTTCTTGAAGGACATCCCAAAGCTCTCGTTGGATGTGGGCTGCCTTTTGTTCCCTCCTCTGTCAGACGATCCCACACTGCTTCAGTACTGTTGAGGTCCGGGCTCTGGGGAGGGTTCTTCATTTCATGAGACGTCTCTCTGTTTTTCTTTCCCAAGAATGGCTTCCTGACAGCCAACAGCCACATTTGGATGTTGATCTCGCCACACTTACCATGCCATCTTTGACATCCGTGAATAACAGTATGTCTTTGGTAGGATGCCTCACATGAAGCCTAAACTACAATAAAACATTTCAGAAAATATTCAGTGCTAAACATTTCCGTCCTGTTGTGAAAAAGTAATGGAAACTTACAAGGTTTTTTATAGGTAAAAGAATTTTACATTTCCAGTTTTATTAACAAAACCCAAAGGAAATGTTTTCAATTATTTTTAGTGTAGTTTCCAGAACAAAAAATCTACTCCCAGTTTGCAATTTTATTTGTTCAGTTACAGAGTTTTTTCTTTAGAAGAATTGTTAATATTTCATTCTGTGCCTCATTTATTAAATCTACTTAAATTACATTAATTATTCATGGAGAAGTCCACTTTTTAAAACCTCTCACTTTTGTTTCTCAACCAAATTCAACAAATGACCGAACACAGGTTTTCTTTCACACATAGTCAAATATATATTTGTTTACCTGGCGTTTCTGACCACAACAGCTCAGATACAGGCCAGTAAAGGTCAGTAAATGCGCCACCGTCTGTGGCAGAGGTGAAAATAACTGTTCGGGGATCCCCATAGGTTTTCAAATATCAGGTCAAGTTGAATTATTAAAGTGACTTCTGGACAAAGTGACCGCTGCCACATGGAATTCCACCATTTGAAACGCACGGAAGCACAGATGGCTCTTTTCATCTGCTGAGACGGCCACAAAAAAAGCCCGCGTGTGTCTATATGAGGGTGTAAGATTAACTAAAGTGTCAGCCACAGGCTGCGTTGGCCTATTTGCGCACCCTGCCCTTTTACTGAATGTGAGGTTTCATCTTCCTGGGCCCCCCTGCTGCTGTGCTGTCCCACTTACAAATTCCTGCTGGACTCCTGTCAGCAGTCCAACTGGATAATCGACAATCGAGCCTCTGATGGCAGAAATGTACATCTGTGCTTGTGGCGGAAACACCGGTGAGCGGAATCTCTTCTTCTGTCAGGTCACTGTTAGTCATCAACGGATCAAGCAAACCACGTCTTTAATTAGAAAAAAATCAATTTTTTCTCTGTGGTGGCTCATCTCTGTGAGCTCATGGTGTATTAAAAAGAAGCATATCTGACAAAACCTCCATAATAGCAACATAAATCTCCCTGTAGACCTTTATTGTTTCACTCAATCGTGTGAAAAAGTCAGCAAAGACTGTCCGAAAGTCAAAAGTTGGCTTTTTGAACTCCCATTTTCAAGTAAACAAAACTCTGAGTCAAGGTTTTTTTTTTTTTTAAGTGCCTTCAAATATGCTGTCTTCCTTGATCATCAAAACATGATATGCGGCCATTGCTGGGTGAAAAAAGAAGAAAAAAAGAAAAAAAGTTTTATGAGAAAATGCACTTCTCAAGGAAAGGAAATGGCCAGCCTTGGCACTGAACCCTGCTGACGTACAAACGCTTTAAAAACGACTGCAGAGGCTGCAGAGAAGAAGAAACTCTGTCTGTATTTAAGACACAACATGTAGAAAAGCTGACAGCAGGTGATGGGTTACCATCAACGCGGCACACGTGTGACTCACTGTCATATTTTTCCAAACTGGACTTTGACAGGTGGCAGGGTGCACTCTCATTATAACACAGCTCACAAAACTGCAAGACTCGCAAAATACTGTACACACAAACAAGACGATCTCAAATATGTTTCCCCTTCTAACACACACACACACAGACACCTGAACACTAGCAAAAAGAGTTTTGTCAGTGTTTAAATGGAAAAAGTGGAAAAGAGACCAAGGAAAATAAGTGGGAGGGAAAGAGAATGCAAAGGACTGAGGTGAGATGTGTGTGTGTGTGTGTGTTTGAGTTGGAGAGAGAGGGAGATGAGGTGAGGAGGCGGAGATGAGAGACTAGGAGGGGAGTGATGTAGAAAGGGAGGGTAGAGAAGAGAGAGACGCGAGCTACACTTGGATGACGGGTTCTAGCTGAGCAGGGAGGGACTTTGGAGTGTTGGACCAGGAAAACTACACTTTCTGCTGCCGTGACCGAACAAGGAGACGACGGAAAAGATGGAAAGACGGAAGCAGGAGGAAGACCAGGACAGAATTTTTGAAGGTTTGATGAGTTCTGAGATGATTGAGGAGCAGGACTGACACCCGGGAGAAAAAAGAGGGAGTTTACTCACCGACTTAAACACAACTCAAGTCACCATGGACGTTTACAGATGTTTGAGCTTGCTTTTCATCGCTCTATCCCCACAAGGTAAAGGAAAAATCTTTCCTCATGTGTTGCAACTGTATCCACTTTGGTTTTGTTTTGTCTCATTCAAAAATCAATAGGTGGTCATGAGGATGGACTACTGTGTCTCGTGTGGATCTACCAGAAAGTGTTTCACCTTGAACTGATCAAATGAAAATCTAAATGTATTATTTAATTCCTTCTTTAATTCCAGATTTTGTAACGTACATCATCAGCAACAAAGTTGACACTTTCTTTGCTGGTTGCTTGATGTAATTTGCACTGATCTGTCTTGAAGTAGAAGATGTTTTAGAAATTCATTTTTTCCTCATGTTCAAATCTACTAGTATAGTACAAAGAAAATACTAGAAAATGCACTTGAAAGTGCCTCTTTTCTATCTGATAGATAAAGTTCAGCCCTCCTCTGTAACCCAAAGGTCTGTGTACACATCAGCCTCAGTAAGTTTCCTTAGACAGGCTGAGGTTTCTGTAAAGGCTAATTTGACAACAGGGTTCATAAAATCAGTGCAAACTGCAAGAAAACCTCTCGCTTGTTTTCATGGTTTCTATTTATTAGTTAATATATGTCAATTGTACGCATGTTTTAGAACATAATCTTTGTAAGATGGAAACTGGCAACTACTGCCTGTGCAGTACTGGAGAACAGTGGCATTGGTCAAAAGAGGACAGATTTGGGTGCTTGTTCACACCTGAATAACAGACTGGGGTAAAACTCCTGGACCTGCATTTGCATAACTAGAAGCATGCAAAAAATATATATATTTTTTTGTACTGAACAGATTGTCTATAGTTTTAGATGAACAATGACTAAAAGTTTAGAAACAGATTTTCATTCAAAGCAATTTGTGTCAGTTCATGATTAACTGTAAACCCCAACATATGGATATTCCACTTAATGTCTTAATGTGATTTAGACATTACTAAAGTACAGACACACCAGGAGCACTTTTATCTGGACAATTTGATGCGAGACTGCTGTGGAATTCCAAATGGGGCAACCGTATACATATCACCACATGGCACTGATATCACACATATCCTTCATCAGAAGATGGAAAAAAACATTTCAAGGTTGTTCGGTACCTAGACGCGTCAGGCAGTCTCAGGTGCAAACGGGAACTTAAATTGTGGAAGGGGGGGATGGGATGGGGGTATCCATTTAATATGATATTGATCCCAATCCTTTCAAAAATCGTGGATGCCAGTTTTTCAGGCAGCTGAAGGACAACCCATCAGCTTTGATTGAGTGGGCAGGGGGATTCAGGGGGGTGGGTTCAGCATCATAATAGCAACAAATGTGAACCTGTTTGGATAATACAACTTGATAGAAAATGATGTGAGATGCCTATTCTACCACGAAAAAGATATTATGTTACCCTTCCTTTAAGTTATGAGTTTGTTTGTTTTTTAAATTAACGTCTAATACAATTAATGTTTAGTTACGTTATACAGAGAAAAATATGCACCCATAGCACAATGAAATATCAGTGAGTTCATTTAAAATTTCCTGGCTGGAAAAAAAAACTTTCTGAATTTTCAGAAAAAATAACAATAATCTAGAATGATCCATGTTCCTTTAATTATCAGCACAAGTAGTTAGGTCATGAACAGTGCAGACAAGTGTGATTGAGCTTTGGCAGAGAGAAGCTGAGAGGATGAGAGTGGATGAGGGGGCAGACAGCTTCATCAGCATGACTGTTCCGAAACACAACGGCTGTCCTCACATTCAGATTTATCCTTCCTATTTTGCTTTCTCTCCTTCCCCCACCCACCATTTGCTCAGACAGAGTCTCATGTAACCATATGCAACCTGTATAATAGAGGTCATCCGTCCTTTAGATTAAACTCTGCATTGTTTGGCATGAAAGTCCAGCGTAGATGAATGAATATTGAATGAAGCATAGTGTGTTTAATGTGATGGGCTCCGTTTCATCCATTAATGTGACAAATGATAAGAATTATAAATGGTTATGGTAATAAACCTGGTCACTGTACAAAAGCAGCCGATATGAGTGGCCGCAAAGCTCTTTTTTGATTAATTCTGATATCTTCTCCTCCTCCCTCAGCTTGTTCTCGAGTTGGACCTCGAGCTCATGCTGAAGAAAGGCTTCTTCAGAATCTCTTTGCACATTACAACAAGCTCTCCCGGCCGGTAAAAAACACCACCGACACCGTCTTGGTCCATTTTGGACTGTCTATTGCCCAGCTAATTGATGTGGTGAGTATAACTGGACATTTTTCTTAAGCTTCATGAAAAACCAATAGATAGCCATTATTTAATCAGCAAAAATCCAAGACTTTTCATTTCCTCTATACTGTCCTAGTATAAAATCACCTGCGTAATCTTCCTTAGAAGGGAAGGTGAGACAGAAAACAGATAAAATCAATAGATTCTTCTCACTTTGTGGTTTCATAAACACACTGACAACTACTTCATCTCAGACAAACCTGCTTGACGCTTTATCACCAATATTCTATCAACAGCAGTTGAAGCTAAACTGTACAGCTGGCATCAGATTAAAAGGCTCATGGTTAATGAGCAGATGAGAATCAGCGCATTTAACCACATGTGTTGATTGTTGTGAGGCTGCCGTGAGCCATATTTGGCTCAATGTTTCCATTGCAATCGTGCACTTTCAGCCTGAAGAAGATTGCTAATAATGAGACACAGACCTACATACCACGCAGGTAAGACAGATTTCAATACAGATGGCAAATCAGGGGAAATGAAACCACAACAGAGGAGATTGCTTTATTTTTCCAAAATTAAATTCTGTCGTCAAGTATGCAAACACAGGCAGTAAACGCTGTCTACCGAATAACAATCCAGTCACAGCAGATCATGGCAAAATAACGTCTACATCACCGCTCGTTCCCACAGTATCTGCATTCACGACACTCTGATTAAATTCATGCTTACAGTATAGTTTTTGAGCCCCAGTTTACAGTATTTTGTTGATTCATTTTGCACTTTCTTAAGAACGTCTACACTAGTTAGGCTAGTAGAGACGAAATTCCAGATTTTGAAATAATTCTCCTGCTATCTTGACACTCAATTAGTTGAGAGTGTTTGCTCCACATGCCTGGTGGTAAGTGGCAGCTCCGGGTGAAGTTATCCTCTCCCACAGAATGTGTTTCCAGCCTGCTGTGGCTTAGAAGTTGCCGAGGGAGAGCTGGAGAAAAGCAAAACAACACTGAGTTTGTTTTCGGAAGTACTGGCTGATATGATATGCTTTTGTGCTGTAAAAGACAACCTATGTGATTGGAGACTTATCAATTTAGAGCAAAAAATGCATCTCATAACCTTTTTATTGTTTGGACTGAAGGATGAGAAGAACCAGATGATGACAACAAACGTCTGGGTCAAGCAAGTAAGAATTGATGAGAGATACAAGCATTGTTGAACATGTAATTCAATGAAAAGCAAACGTGGCTCATGCTTTCCTGTGCCGTTCCGGCAGGAATGGAACGACTACAAACTCCGTTGGAACCCGGAGGAGTATGAAAATGTCACCTCCATTCGTATACCCTCCGAGATTATCTGGAGGCCGGATATTGTCCTCTACAACAAGTAAGAAATTGTCCCGATATATCCCGCTGAACCGATTCTTTTCAGCCACACAGCACGCTTCCTGGGCTCTTAATTGCCACCATCTTTAAGGCGAAAGCATGTGTCAAGTTATGATTTTGATGACTTAATTTCAACAGATGGCATGACTGCAGGGAACACGTGAAGAATCTGTTGTTGTGCCGAACATCTTGTTCCGTGCCAAGTAATTTAGCTGGAATAAATGTAAACAAGGTCAGCCCAAATGGATGAGAAAACAAAGAAAGTTCAGCATCACAGGGAGCTATACGCGGGGCTGGGAAATAGCAGACGAAATGTAATTGGATGCGATTCAACGGGCTGCAGATTAAATGCATGAAGTGAGAAAGCCTCAGGTGTGCATTCATTTCATTCCAAACAAGGAGAATCAACAATCTAAGAATACTCTCATGAAGGGGCACTGCAACATTTTCTAAAGAACTCTCCTTCAAACGTAATTGTGCTTTCTTGTGATGAATTATATTAAGCACATATATCTAATAATGGAGTGAGAAGGCAAAGAGTTTAATTTTTAGTCAAATTCCTTGCATAGGCTTTCAAACTGTGCAGTGTAAATAGTTAAAATTCCAAAATGTCATGGCATGAACATGCTCAAATCCAAAGAGAAAGTTTATAAAAAAAACAATCCGGGCCTTTGAAAAGGCTGCACTCAAATTATTTCAATTCAAATAAATTGAATTGAATTGAATAGATGTATGATTGGGTAAGATGAGGCTGCGGAAAGTATTGGGGTGCTCAGGTGTGTGATGAAGTCTTCGGTGAAATGAGGGGCTCTGTGAGCACAAAAGATATCATTCAAACAAAGTAAAGGAATGGGATGGGGCAGCTGCTCTCTGCAGAGGCAGAGAAAACTCTGTGCTGTTGTGTTGACACAAAACAAATGCTCGTCTTAGATTATTTGGGAAAATAATTGCTTGTCATAACATTGATTTATTCCATGAAATTCAGCTTGCAACGGAAAGTCAGCAAAATCATGACCCGATAAGACAAACATTTAAATGGGAATTCACTGGCAAAAGGCAGATATAAAGTTATTCTTTTTTCCCAAATATAAACCAATAAATAATAAGAAAAAATAGGATAGGAAACAGATTTTCTATCCTGAAAACAAATGTTCAATTCTGAGATAGTCGGCAGGGAAAATTCTTTAATTTTGTATAACTTGTCTACCATATTTTTGTGCTTCATATTGTATAATGTCATAAGAAATAATACTACATTTTTTCACATATATGCGGTCTGTGTCTGGAGAAAATCTTAGCTCTTACCAGTGCAGCCACACAATCTTTATCTGTCCATGAAATCAAAGCAATGTGTCTGAGCAGAGCAGAAGACTTTTATCTGTCTAAAGTATTTCCTGGAAAAGTCCACCAGGATTGGAACTTCTGAAGGGTGCAAAAAAAACCGAGCCACTTTTCTAAAACGTGTCTTCATCTGTCTTTACTCCTCATCTGCAGTGCTGACGGCGACTTCGCAGTAACTCACCTCACGAAAGCGCATCTGTTTTATGACGGACAGATAAAGTGGATGCCTCCGGCCATTTATAAGTCTTCGTGCAGCATAGATGTGACGTTTTTCCCTTTTGACCAACAAAGCTGCAAGATGAAGTTCGGCTCCTGGACTTATGATCGCGCGAAGATCGACCTGATCAGCATGGCCAGTGATGTGGACCAGATGGACTACTGGGAAAGTGGGGAGTGGGTCATTGTCAATGCGGTGGGCAAGTACAACACAAAAAAGTACGAGTGCTGCACAGAGATCTATGCGGACATCACTTACTACTTCATCATCCGGCGGCTTCCTTTGTTCTACACCATTAACCTGATCATCCCGTGTCTCCTTATCTCCTGCTTGACCGTGCTGGTGTTCTATTTGCCTTCACAGTGTGGCGAGAAGATCACGTTGTGTATTTCCGTCCTACTTTCTCTGACGGTGTTTCTCCTGCTCATAACGGAGATTATTCCGTCGACATCCTTAGTGATACCGCTGATCGGCGAATACCTGCTGTTCACCATGGTGTTTGTCACGCTCTCCATCATAATCACGGTGTTTGTGCTGAACGTGCATCACCGGTCACCACAAACACACAGCATGCCTCACTGGGTACGGAGAGTGTTCCTGGACTTGGTTCCTCGGGTCCTGTTCATGAAACGTCCGCCGGGCACCGCAAAGCAGCACTGCAAGAAGCTCATTGAGATGATGCACTGTCCCACCACCGTGTCCACAGCGGGGAACTCTCAGGCCTCCTGGCCGGGATTAGGGACCGGCTTGCTACAGATCACCCAAGTGGACGACAGCCTCCAAAAGAATCCCTCAGACAGTCCGAGAATCCTCGTCTGTTCCCCGTCTCCGCCCTCTTCCCCCTTTAAAGACTGCACTGAGGACGATCATCCCCCGAAGGCCAGCATCTTCATACGGTCCACATCCGGTCAGTATTCGGTTCTATCCGAAAAACAACCCTTGCGTGGACACAACTCCGCTAGCATGTCTTCGTCACAGCTGTCCTTACCCCCGACCCTGCCGCTGGGCCCACTTCACAGCCCCTGCAGGGAACAACCGGGCACGCTGTCTCAAAATGGCCGCTCACTCAGTGTAGAGCACATGTGCAACCAACAGAAGGAGCTTCCTGGGAGATCTGGGCATCTGTGTCGCTCTCACAGCTTTCAGTACTGTTGTTTGCACAATGACGGAATCATCTCGGGGAAAGTGAAAACATTTGCCCCCACAGAACTTTTGCCAGAAAGTCAGACCGCTAAGGCCAATAAAGAAACACACGTCCAATGCGATGCTGTGATTCCGACTATTTCCCCGGCGGTACAACGGGCCATAGAGGGAGTTCAGTACATCGCTGATCATCTCAAGGCCGAGGATGCAGACTTCTCAGTAAGTCGTCTGAAATCTAATTCAAGTTATCAGCAAAGTGTTGATTGTAATTGTGAGGAGGAGATTACTTTTTTACATTCCATTAACGTCTTTTTTACAGTTTATCAAATGGAACATTTTTATTTCCCATTTTTATTTTCCCAAAATACATTTAAAATTTGATGTGTTTCATGCAAAATCTGTTCAAATTCTCAGTTTAAAAACCAAATAAGCCATTTGAATGTGGCCTCGTTGGGAGCATTTGTGAAATGCCAATTTGTTTGTAAAGCACAAGGTGATGAAAACCTTTTCCTGTCTCAAGAATTGAAGCAGAGGCACGTCAGGTCCACAAAATACATTTACCAAGTGACTTTAACACACCGGTAGGCAATGTGGGCTGTGTCTTGACCAAGGACTCTTTAACACGTGGTCCAGAGTAAGACCAAAGTTGAATCACCAACCTGTCCCTAGATCTCTCCTTGCATACAGTTCTGCAGTATGCATGCAAAGCAGATATTGATATTACAGCAAGAAAAGTACACAAATAAAGAGCAAGTCGCTACCTGAACATAGGAAAACAGTTTCTTCCACAACTTTTTGTTGCTGGCAAACAGTATTTGTCCATGTTTGCTGTTTTAAAGCTTCTCATGGTTTGTGTGCTTTATTTCATCTTATCAATCAGCGACCTCGTGTTTTTTCCTTAGACATCCTCACCCGTAGCTCGGATGGGATACTATTAATAGCTTTTATGCACATGCACACACACACACACACACATTCCTATCAAGCATATCAAACAATTAAACAGAAGTTACTATTTTCATCTTCAAATAAAAGATAACATTGATTTAATTGAATGGCAAACATCAAACATAGAGATGTGAATTCTGGTAAAAAAAAAGTCTAAGTCTTTGACTGAGACTGTATTTGTCAAAAAATAACTTAAAACTTTCTTACCACCTCTGCCACGAGAAACTTGTAAGGTTCTCAGTTCTGTTTAAGTATGATGGTGATACAGAACTAATTTTCTATATTTCTAGAAATGAATGCAGGATGTTAGTTATAGCTGGAGGGAAGAACTGGAAGATTCTTTAATATAATGCACTCTCCAGCTCCGGCCTTCTTCAAATCCATGGGTTATCTGTCATTTCACTAGGAAGCTTTCATTGGTAGGAGCAGTAAATGTCCAGCTCGGTTTAGGAGACAGACACTTCTGACTGAAAATGTAATATTTATTTTTTTTAAACTGCAGAGAACTCAATGAACAGCAAATCTGACAGTTTTTAACTTTTTTGTGTTAGTATGGTGTGAAATCTAAAATGTCTGTATTGTTTATCCTCTCTACTTAGGTGAAAGAGGACTGGAAATACGTGGCCATGGTAATTGACAGAATATTCCTTTGGATGTTTGTCCTGGTGTGTATTCTGGGATCTGTGGGACTCTTTCTTCCTCCTTGGCTGGCTGGAATGATCTAGAATCTCTGCACAAGAGAAAACGAACTCTGACAGGAGGATGAACTGTCATGTATTGTAAAAAAAAGATTCCTCAGTGATATTTCTTTCTTCTTTTTAAAGGAAAAACACGTCATATTCTTGGTTCTTATCCTATCAGAAGGTTATCCGTGAAGAAACAAGATAAAATATCTACCATCGATCCCAGTGGGCATATAAATTTATTATGAGGGCAAGAGGCCAATGGCAAAGATATCTCACTGTGCTACTCAAATTTGACATTGAGCTTTATAACTCAAGCTGTCACTTTGTGAAAAGAGTGTGAAAAATAGACTTTGATCAAATTAGAAATGGTGATAACACCACAAGAGAAAAAACTGAGACCTTTTTTTAGCTGTTTATAAATATATATGGTCAGAATTGTGTGCCCAGCAACACAAGTGTTGCAGTATTTTGATGGCAATCCAATAAACAGCGGACATAAAGAACATAATAATGATAAAATATATTCTGATGGATTTCTGTAGGTTTAGGTTTGTGCACACCTTTTTGTGTGTTTTTTTTTTTTTTCGTATTTCAGCTACGAACAAATGTGTTAAAAAATTATTTTGCCCTTTTTTGTTAAATATGGAAACACTGTGTTTCACTTGTTCTTATTGTCTTTTGCTTGATTAAAACAATAAGTTGAGACTTGTAATCGTTCACTTTATGCCTTTATACTTAAAAGCTAAAATGAACTAGAAAGGAACACATTACTGTTAATTTGAGAGAAAGCGGATGCTGTTTTTTTCTTTTTCAAAGATACCATCCTCAGCAGTACATTTTAGTATGTATCATGAAATCAGATCATAATTGAAATCTAAAGTCTGAAAGAGTCAAACAGAATAAATCTATTTTTTGCACATCATAAGATGGATGTTTCAAGAGGTGACAGACAGCAAAAGGGGTGAATACCAAATGAAAGACATCTGATGGTGATAAAAGAGGACATAGTCACAAATATCTTGATAAAAAGATATGCGGCACAGCTCTTATCAAAAAGGAAATATATCTGAAGCATACATTTTGTTAGCACAACTAAACTAAAGATCTTTGGGGGTTCGTGTTGTAGCTTTGATCAAAGTCAAACACAGTGTGAATGTTTGTTTTATATTTCATGAGGTCCCCCATTAGCCCTTGCATTGGGATAAAAAATATGTGTAATAAAATCTGTACTGACTGAGAACATCATAATCTGAGAATGAAATCCAGCTCTGAGACACTTTCTCTGGAAGAAAAGCACAATCCCAAGAGAGTTGAAACCTGTTCACTAGGTGGAGTTAATCTTATCTCATCATCCTTCTCTTTCCGTAGCTGTTCTTTTCTCTTTGTCGTCTTTAACCTCCACATTAAAGTTCAAAGAAGCTCCCATTCAGTATATCTTAATTTTACGGTGATACCTCAAATTCTTATGGTTCGTCTAAAAATTCAGAAATGTGCCACAGCATTGCAATGACTTTTATTTCTTTCACAATGTTAAATTAAACATCTGGAAGTTCAACTGCACTGACACTGGAAGGTATCAGGCAGCATATAAATGAAACAGAGAGGAGGAAAACCGACACAAAAAAGCCTTTTACGCTGGCTCCTGTCTTCTCAAACCTCGGCTGGTGGAAGCAGGTGACCACCTCCCAGAGTTTGGTTCTGCCAGAGGTTTCTTCCAGTTCAAACTGAGTTTCTTCTTCCACAGGCGCCTTGTGCTAATTGAATTGAACTGAATTGCAAGGAAGTGTTCATCCAAGTTGGGTCATTAAAATAGGAGCCCTGAACCAAGTTCCCCCTTTTAACACAAATAATAGAACGGACTTAACAAACGAACTCATGGCATGGCAGCCCCACCACAGTCTATTTCACTCAAGATGCACAAATGCTGAGGAACTGCCAGGATTTTTAAAAACTCATAGCTGTTAGCTTCCCACCTCTGGCTTACTTTGTGTGTTTGCTGCAGTTTTATTGTTATATGTATTCTTTATTTAATTGATTTGAAAACAATAATTGGCTTAATTCACCTTTTTTTTTACAATCTTCTTTTCCTTATTTCTTATCTGTTTTCTTGTTTTTTAGTTTGTTAGTCTGTTTAGTCTTTTTTATAACACAGTCAAATATAGTTAGTTGTCAGTTTGAAGAAATTCATGTGTAATAAAAATCTAGAGAGATAGTAATGAAACTGCCATCGTAGCTTTGTTGCTGGGGGCTTCTCATTATTACAAACAGCTGACACATTCACTCAAATGCCGTCAAGGAGAATGTGAAAGCGATTTCTGTTACCTCATTTTCTGATGTGAGTACGCCACTCGCTTCTTGCTACACACATATTTTCGGTTAAGGTGTAAGAATCAGCAGTTTGACGGCTGACTTCTGCTCACTAAACGGCTCCCAGCATTGTTACTGAAGAGTTCATTTGACGGTACCCAGTTGTGGAATCAAAGTATTAAAATAATAACTGGTCTGAAGAACAAAGTTCAAATATTGTTCAGTTGGGATTTATACTGTTAGACAATTAACCAGCCAGAGGTAATCAGGTCTTCTTTATTTTAACCTTCTCATACATCTGAGAGCTAATGTCCTGGCTGAATGAAACCCTGGGTTAGATTTAAAAGCATGTAACGCTGCACCTGAGTGCCCAAAGTAATGACCTCAACATTGACCTCCTCCCCCAAAACTATCCTATTTCCATTAGCTCAGCGGGCAGCCAACCAAATAATCATTATGATGTTCCAAAAACAAGGAAAATGGCAATTTTGCACAATGTGGAAAGACAGCACTTTGAGTAAGGGGAAATAACTGCAGTTCTGTGTGTTATTCATACAATCCGTCTCATATAACAGAAGAAAGTCTGGAAAGTGTATTAGTCAAATTAACACCAAGACACTTGTTTATTCCAAAACAATTCAAAAACACAAAGTTATACCGTTACCTTTTCCCTTGGGGATTAAAAAAGTACTTTTCTTTTTAATTTCACTGTAGACAAAGATTAGTTATAGTTTAAAGTGTGTAAAATAGGAAGTTGCCATTCAAATGAATTTCATAAATAAGAAAATAGATAGATAAATAAATAAATGAATAATTGAAGCAGCAAACTAATTTCCATTAAATGATAGGGTAAGCCTTTTCTCCAAGAATCTCCCATGTGTGAATTTAGCCCTGAGTGATAAAAGAAGTAAATTACTCATGATGTCACGCAGCAGAGCATAATAAAGGTCTTCTGTATTGCTTCCTTAAAGAATGCAAAATGCCATGCAAGGGTACCAAGTTATTAATCATTACTAAATGTCATGTTATTAAACTTACTTTGAGCTAAAATGGAACCACAGTGCTAATTAAAATTCTACTTTATGAAGGTGCTTTGAGCTTTGATAATTAATTTACACAAGGAAAGATATTTTAAATGAATGGTATGGTGTGACCCAGGATGACTTTATGGTAATCCTACTAACTGCTTAGCTCATGATAGGTCATGCTTCCACGTGTAAGAGGTGCACACGCATGCAAGTCTGGCCATAGCACCTCACTGACCTGTCCTTTAAATTCATCGCAAAACCTATCACGACAAATCAGCTACACTGAATACATGCAGATATTGTATAAATGTAATTCCAAATTTATAAATTCACCAAAAGTTTTTCTTCAGAATATATCAAATTGTGGATTTGAACACTTGGGATTTCCTCCAGCCTTCTTATTAAAAGTGCTTTTTACATACAGTATTTAGTATTTTTGCAATAATTTGAAATCAATTCTACCCTCTGTCTCTCCTTTAAATAAAGGTAATCAATTAATTCATTGCTAATCAGCCCTTTCTAGAGTCTTCAAAATGTTTCTCATTTCCATACTTACACAAATAAATCATCCATTCGCCCATCCATTCATTTGCTGTTTAAACCTCTTCAAAGGCACAAGGGGCAATCTTATAAATCTTCAACTGTGTCCGTGTGAAATGGAATTGACTCATCATCCATGCGAAGGACGCAATCTGTCAGGAGCAAAACAGTCCATAAAGTTAAAGTAAGCCTGATGTGACTGAGGCACAAATCAGGACCTAACGGGGGCACGAATCTGAGCTCTGTGAGTGACCTCACCTGGAATAGTTTGAGCAGTGTTTAAAGAGACTTTTAGAGAGATATTCTACAGAACCACTGAAAAAACAACAATTTCAGTGGCTCCAAACCCATCATGGCATCCTTATAAAGCAGTCGTGAGAGTAGCTTTCTGAAAAAGGATGTAAAGGACAAAAAAAAAACCTATTTGGCATAAGAGTGAGTCAAATTATTCAAGCAAACACCAGAGCGTCTCCCTGTCTCTGTAGTGGCCAAATCAAAGCTTATATCTAAAAATCTACAATTCTCTCTTCTTGATGCACCACTAATCATTTAGTTTTTCTCTTTTTGATACATCCTTTCCAAAATATATATATTTAATTTAGATTTCTTGTTTCAGATACAAAGATGCCTGTTTTATGCATCTAATGTTGAATCTGTGAAAATATCACATTCTGTGGAGTAACTGTCAGTTACTGTGGTAGCTCATAATATGTCAGTTGCTTGTTTCTTTCATGTCTGTATTTTTAAAGACAAACATGTTACTTCAACAAAAATTTGCGTAGATTAGACGATTAAATACAATAATTAAGTGATCTGCTTTCAGTGCATCTTTGGAAACATCAAACTCTGCCCATGAAACAAGCCAACTTGTTGCTGGATTTTGAGATTCAGACACATAGTTAAACGAAATGGGGGCCAAAAAAAAAAAAACTTCAGTGGCAACTTTCTGTTAACTGATAATTATATATCTTTACTTTTGATCTTCAAATCATGTGGTGTGCAGATTCAGATTAGGGGTGCATTCTCCTGTAGGTAAAAACGTCTGCTGTAATGGCCAAAGACAGAACACAGGCACAGATTCTAGTCTAGTTTAGAGTCAGCTGGAGCTGGTTGGAGCTGAGGTAAGGTGCAGGGGCCCCAAGCTTTTGGCCACACTAAACGTACTGCCAATGTCCATTTTCCAACTGAACTGAAAAAGAGGAGTCGTGAGCCAGCCATGTGAAAAATGCAGCATTGCGAATCAAGATAGGCTCAAGACCTACTTGGAATAAACGGGTGTAGATAATGGATAAATTCCAGGGAGACATTTACAAATCACAGATCAATGAAGAAAGTCTATAAATGCTCAATAAAGCTGTTTTAACATGGTTGTATCAGCCAGAAAACAGGAGACAAAACCAGCCTTGTTTCTTTTGCTTCATAGCGAGACATTTAACGATCACACTATTAAAGAAATAGGCCTGCCCTTTAACTTGTTTGTCTCACTAAATTATCCTCTTGGAAACTTACAGTGATGATTTGGTTCTGAGTGGGCAAAAGGGTTTGACTAACTTTACTTTGTGGACAGTGTTCTGCTTGATGGAGGGAGAAGACAGTGTGGATATTCCAGGAAAACTCAGAGGGGAAAAAGGCTCAAAAGTGTTTTTGTTCCATCTATAGTGTTCTATAACTCCGTTTCTGACCTGTCAAATTTGAAATCTGCTCCAAACTCTCGGGCAGCCTCTTGGCAGTGTGGACTGATGGGCTGGACGGAGTGAAAGACTGAGATAAAAATCAATAAACAGCATTAAACTAGCATGGTTGTTATTGCTATCTGGGTGTGCAAACAAAATGTTTAATAGGTGACTGCAGTATTACCCAACTCTTGTGTGTGTCTTATAGGCAGATTGAAAAGGTTTAAGTATAATCTGCCTTTACAGGGTCGCTTTTCTTTGAAAGAGGTCTGAGGGGGAAAAACCTGACGGCATGCAGATCTTCCTGACACATGTTTGCTGTATCTTTAAAGCGTAAAAGGTCAATAAATTCAAAGAAATTAGTAGATGAGAACAGAGATTTGTAATCTTTTTGGTTACAAACAAACTTGAACCAGAAAGATTACAGTGATAGTGAAATGAAGAGATAAATAAATTAATTCCACTTCTCCTATTCATGCCAAGCCAACTGTATGCACAACAGAGGGGGATGTGTTTAACTTTTAATGGATGTACGATCAGAGACAGTCATGTAGCCTGTCAACCCTCAGGTGAACAGCATTTAGGAATTCCTAAGTAAAAAAATCTGTCAGGGCGGCCGCCCAATCAATTCTCCCATCACGCCTCGTTAATCACATAATCCAGGCTCTGATCAGTGCCGACTAGCAGGAAAAAAACTACCCCAAAAGGTCAGTCTGCATCGTGACACGAGACGGCCGTCTGCAGGAACGCGCGGCGCATACAGAGGCCCGAGAATGTGGACAGCACTCACAGTTAATCTGTTTCTGACCGGGGAGCAGGGCCCCTCAGACCTGAGGAGCATAACTGGGGCAAGGCATGTAGCGCAAATCCTCAAGGGGGCCCATTAAACTGACACACACGGTGCATTTTGCTGTTTTCCCCAACAATCACTGGATAGCACGTGATCTTTCCGGCCACCGTGCTGCTACTCACCAGGACAGGCCAGAGCTGGGGGGGTCCCTCAGGGTACGGCAGAAGGTTTAGGAGTTTTTCGTTTGTTTGCACGCTTCATTTGTGGATTAAGCTTTTCCTCACTGGTGCCGTTACAGCTTTAGAAAGAGGTTTCCCATTAGGGACGATCAGACTGCTGCGATTGATGATCGTCAATATTCTCTTTTTTGTCCTAGATTCGTGGTCACTGTACATTTTTAAACACTGACGCTTACATCGTCCTGGTGGGAAATGTTTAAAAACAGATGTTTGAGTTTTTAAATGTTCCTCCATGATCAGATGACACAAATGCTAATAAACTCAAGGGGAAATACAAAATCTACACTGCCTGACAAGACAATTCAAACCTTTTAGTTGAGTCTGAAAGACTAGGAGGCAGATGCAGTCACTACCCGACCCGCCCACGGACAGCAGCGTGTGTCAGGTTCCCCGAGCAGACACGCTTCTCCCCAAATGTATTATTTAATAGAAAGGTTACGGTTGTAGCTTCAAAGATGCATCGCATGAGCCGTCCGAGGCGTGGGCAGGACTTCAACACTCTGCAAAGGTCTTCCAGCTCCTGAGGATGTCATTTTCAAATCAGTATGAAAGTCAGAGCAAACTGCAGAAAGCACTGAAACAGCCTCCGGCCGCATTGGCTGCACTCTATTCGTACAGGAACAAAGGTAAGATATGGGTTTAGGCGCACAAAGGCGTGTAGTTAAATATATTTTAAAAAAGCACAACAGTTTCACCAACTGAAATCTTTAGTTGTGTTTAAAAAAACAACTTAATAATAAACATATATTCATTCTAAACAACACAGTGACTTGTACAGTTTGAATCAAACAAACTCAATGCTGAACAAATTAGTCAAATGTGGCGATTCCGGTGAGAAATCAGGGCAAAAAAAAAAGAAAAAAAAGAAAACATCCCAAAAAAAAACCAATACATCTGCAGACTAAAGTCGTGTTTCAGGGGAGCGGCGCTTCCCTTTATTGTCCAAGGTCTTTGAGAAAAGTGATGTTAAAACTCCGTCATTTTCTTGTGCGTGTCAGCCTTCCTGTGCTCTCTCTGGATGGAAAGTTCCTGTGATTTCTGCTGGGCCAGCAGCTGGCGGGCGGCGGACAGTTTCTCTTCCAGCTGCTTCACTCTGGATGCATCCCTTTTACACACAGAAAACAAATGGAATAGGAGCAGAGGAGAGAGGGAAACTCAGGTCTGTTGATCGGTGGTGCAAGCAAGCACAAAAATTCACACAGCTCCCACCGTTGTTATTTGTGAACTTGAATGAAATATCATTTCACTTTAATTGAAAATCTAAGTTCTTCTAGTTACAAATAAATTAAGCTTGTGAAAGCAATGCACTGATGCAGCAGTTATCCAATAGCTGCTCATGAATCCAAAGTCAAGCTAAAGGTTACAGCGCGCAGAGCAAAGACTGCAATTACATGCTAATTAATGTTCATTCATGATAGGTTTGATGCCTTAATGGAGTTAAAAAATAGATTTGAATGCATAGTCATTTAAAATCTTACTCTGAAGCGAGTACTGACCTGCCAGCCTGTTTACTGAGTAGGTCGCTCAGTTTCTGGATCTCCCTCTCGGTCTGGGAGACCCTCTGAGCAGCCTGGAACAGCTTCACGTTCAGGCTCCTCTTGGTGGTTTGCCCCCCCCTGTAAGCCTCTAGGCCGGCTGCTGCCGGCGGTGCAGCAGCTCCCCCTTCAGCAGCATCACAGCTCCTGTCTCCTAGCTGTCGGTTCAGGAAGTCAAACACGGTGTGGCTCCCTCTGGTGGCGGCTCGGGGCTTCCTGCGCCGCTTCGGGCGGCCGCTCTGGGCTCCGTCCTTGGCCGTTTTCTTCTGGGTGCGCCTCTGGGTGAACTGCGCGCACTCGTCCAGAGACTTGCCTTTAGGCAGGACTACCGCCATCACCGGCTCTACTCGACCCTCCTGCATTTTTCCTAAGCCTGAGAAAAAACAAAAGAGACTTTGTGAACACGAGGATCAGGCCGCATTTTAGTTTGTGCATTTACATGAAGGCGCCTATGCTATATCATTAAAAATATTTAGAATATAGGTAATTATAGTTTCATTTATAGCATTGTTTTATTGTTACCAAAGAGAGAAAACCCTCAGAAAGCTACAAATGATAGATGTGCTCAGCAGAGAATGCTGTGCAATTGCACTCACCTTTCCCGTATTCGTAGCCCATCTTGAGCATAAGTTTGGATCCGATCCCTCTGGTATGTGCTTCCCAGCCACCAAAGTGGCCACTGTTTTGCGTTTCTGCAGAGTCCCCAACAGCGTCTAGAACTGTTGCATCAGAGTAGAAACCCAAATAAACCAAACGCAGCCATCATCAAGTGCACACCCTGTTGTGGTGTTTTCATGCAATACCTTTGGCATATCCCATATCCTCTCCCTCTCCCGTGTCATCTGGATCTGAATCAGAGGAGATGGGGTCGTCTTCTCTCAAAGGCGGAATAACGGCGTCAGCTTCGACTACAGCGTCTTTCATCAGCAGTGAGTCGAACTTCACCGTGTAGAAACCAGAGTCGATTTCTAGAATAAGAGAACAATCACACTGATTAGTCCATCAAACGTCGCTCTGTCGATTTACATGAGATGAGTTCCAGAAAACCTAGAGTGATTATTCGCAACCGTTCATGACGTACCTGTAATTTTGGCTGGGTACCAAATACCATCCTCATGGCGAGTCAGGCAGGATGAACCCTCTTCAAGATTACTGAGGTCACACTCCGAGAACGCTCGGAGCTCCGACACGTACACCACCTCACCATGAGAAAACCTTCAATACAAGTTACATTTAATACTCCACTGTTCACTTTTAGGGTGGGACACAAAGAAAAGAAACATTTTCTAATTTAATATGACAAGGGAAGCGGGTCAGTCGTAATAAATTTGACTTTCAATAAAAATATTGTTTTAAAAGCTGCAGCTGTTTAATTACACATGCAATAACAAACTCTTTTACCTGCAATTATCCAGAAATCGACATTTGTCTTCCAGGTAGAATGGACAGGGCTTCATGGACTTATGCGTAGGGTAGATGTACAGCACCCTAACTTGCGCCTCATCTCCATCTGGTGGCTCTGACCCCACCACCATGGCATTATGATACTCCAACGTCCCCCAAGTCGTCCTGTAAGGCGCCATCACTTTAGTACCACTAAGCGAGTCGTCTTCTTCTTCTTCTTCGTCCTCCTCCTCGTCACAATCCCCTGCTCCTCCCTCTGCCTCTGTGTCCCTCTCTCTGTTATCGGAGCTACTGCCAGAGCTCTCTCCCAGTTCAGAGTAAAAAGCAGCAAACTCGGCATCCAGGCCATTTGTGTTGTTGGTCTCAGCTGCTGGATCTGGGCTGTTCGCCTGCAGTCCGTTGTGGCCCTCTAGGCTGGCAAGCAGCCGGCTCTTTTTCACAGACACCAGGCTGGCCTCGGTGAGCTCTATCAGCTGGCAAAGGTCCTCCTTTAGTTTGAGCAGGTCCTCCTGCTGGCTGGGGTCCAGGCCGGCCGACAGGGCCAGCTCCACCTGCTGCAGCTGCACGCCATAGGAGGCAATAGCAGCCTCAATGGTTTCTTCATCCATAGTGACAGCTTGGCACAGGACAGGGCACCGTCAACCCCCTCATACACCTGAGGCAAAGGACGTGGAGGAGATTTAACGGCTGTAAAAACAAAGACTAAAGGGGCTGCACTCACCCCTCTTCTTCATCAGTTCAGATCCCCATTTCTTAATTAACCAAAATTCACCTAATGTGATAACCATTGAGTAAGATCCTTTGAGGAGTAGTCGTCTTTTGTTTTTTTTAGTATTCTGTTTGTCATATGAAAAATATACCAGACCATTTTAAGCTTCCAGTGCTATTGGGTAGATTACGAGCGAATTTCCCCAAAGGTTTAACAAACCTTATTAACCGGACATGGAAACGTAATGGAAGCTCGTTTTAGCTGCTAGCCGCCTTTTGCTAACTTTTATTAATGGCTTATCGAGCCTTTCGTTACCTGTATTCTTAACCGAGCTCTTGGGCGTCCACTGCAGATACACGAAAAGTGGCATCCATCAAAATGTGCCGTCTAAAAACGCAAAAGCAATTTAAACAACTTCACCGTACAGCCACAACAGACCTGCGTCAAGCTAGCAGAAGCTAACCTGAGATGGGCTTCCGTTGACAATTTTGGCATTTTGCTACAAAACGAATAATAATAATTCGGAATTGGTGGTTTCATTGACAACAACCACACGTACAAAGGCAAGCAGCTGATCTCAATATTTTTTTTAAATTTATTTTATCCTAAAGTATCTCTGAAATCTCAGTTTTATGTGACACGGTGTATTTCGTTTGAAAAAGAAAGCTTGTTGGCTCTGCACATAAAAAGGATTAATTGACAGCAAATAAATGCATCTTTCAGGATATTTGAATAATGCTTGGTTTCCAGAACAGTCACACTTTTAAGTATTTGAATATGGTTCATTTGACTTTCTTATATGGTGAAATTATGTTCGATTATTATGAAAGCACCCGGAAGTCTTGGCCCTTCGTCAAACTGGCGCGCCTGCGTCGCAGAATAATGACGTGTAAATAGCAGACTTCTGCGATAACTTCATCAATGTAAATAAATGCACTGCTTGGGCAAAAAGGGTCGCCGCCTGGCAAATAGGTACGAGACTTTTACCTCAACAATTACCGTATGGATTATTATCTTTTAGTCGGAAACAAGCCATTTAAATGATGCAATGAGTATCTTCCCACTTCTTAAGCAACTGTATCGAAAACATGCTGTCTCCCGTGGTTCTGGATAGGGATGTTGGTCTGCTTAAGAAGGGTGGAATATTGGGTTTGCATCGAGCAGGAATAATACTCAGGAGGCTAAAGAAACTACTGAAATTCGATTAAGAACTATTGCAGCATTACTAACTGTAAGGACAGCACAGATGTGGAGATAGGCTGTCCTCAAATGCAGCATCAGTGACATGCTGGGTCCTTTCACTGTGCTGTACAATTAACTGTGCACATTGTATCCTCACTCTGTAGATATGGTCATTTTTAATGAGAAACATACAAGTCTTTTTTTATGATTTTTTTCCTCCAGTCCATTCTTGGACACCCAAACTAGGCATCAACAATCATCAGCAGTTGACAGCAGGTGGAATTCATTTGTTGTGCTAACCACACATATGTCTCACCCAGGGAAGAGACAAATCTCACAAACAAATATCAAATTATAACTCAAAGACAACATATGCACACTAATTCCAATTTTTTTTGTGGAGTACTGTTTCTTTAACTATTTCTCTGCCCATGTCCCTTCTCTAAAGTGGTCCCAGCTGTGATGCCTCCGGTCATGTCTCAGATTGGTGATCCGAAGATTGCCTTTGCTTACCTGCGACCGGCCTGTGTCCTGCTCACCCGAGAGCCCACGGTGACCAATGTAGACGCGCTGAGCGGGCAGCTGAAAGACGTTAACGATGCCACGCTGCAGCAACTCCAAGAGTATGTCCTCTTCCCTCTTCGCTTTGTTCTTAAAGTCCCCGGGCCTAGGAAGGAGAAGCTGGTGCAGGCAGTGGCCGAGGCCATTAGCTACGTTCTGGAGAACACCTGTGTCCAGAGCTGGGAGACGCTCCGTGACCTCTTCTCAGAGCTTTGCCTCTGCCTCTGCTCGCCCGCCGACCCGGGAAAACCTGCAGACGCATCAGAGGAGCTGAAAACGGCGGTGCTGAGGTGCCTGGACGCTCTGCTTCACGCCGCTTATGGGGACATATTCTTCAGACTCTATGAGCCTGTCATGCTCCCTGGACTGGGCGCTGCCATATCGCTGCTGCTGGCATTAGGGGAGAAGGAGAGATCTCGGGATATACAGGTGGCTGCCCTGAAGTGCCTCCAGACTTTGACCCTGCAGTGTGACTGCACTCAGGAGCACGTGGTTCCATCCTCAGATGAGCGGCGCTCTGTGGGCAACACCATGGCTTCCTTCTTGCCCGGGATAACTGTGGCTGTTGCAAGGATCATCACAGGAGATTTAAGACAAGGCCACTCAGTCACAGTCAGAGCGATGAAGGTACCATAACTCTTCATAACATTTGATTTAGTAAAACGCTTTACTGTTTACAGTTTGTAAAAATGTGCAAATGTTTTCCTTTTTCCATCAACATTTGATAATTGAACAGGAAATACGTTCTTTTTTCTATTAAAAACAATGTTTTATATAAAACATGAATAATTCTGCATTGGGAACATCCTTTTATTCAGTACGTGCTGGCATACTTGACATTTGAGGTGAGAAGTGGTCTATTATGCTTTTTTAAACTTTTTTTTTACTCATTAGTTTAACTAACCGAAAACTGGTAAGTTTTTCTCTGCAACATCATCAATGCATTAAAGGAAACAAAAACAAAAAGATTCTTACTATTTTTTAAAACTATTTTTAACTATTACTATTTTTATTATTACTCTTCAGGTGTGGTCCAGTTCTGTGGGGCTGGTCATGGAGGATGTACAGCTGCAGACCAAAGAGTCCTCCACGTCCCCCTCCCCAGACCTGGGCCGGGTCGGGCAGCTCGTGGTCCGACGGACGCCAGATTGGGTGAAGAACACGGCGGGGAAACTGTCTTTGCTGCTGCAGAAGATAATCTCCTGCACTTCAGCCCACCTGCACTGGAGAGTAAGACTGGCCTTAGTGGAGCTGGCTGACTTCCTGCTGGCCGGGTGTGGTCAGTCACTACAAGAGTGTGTGGGGCCGCTGCTGGAGGCCCTGGTGGGAGCCGTCAATGACGAGGAACCCAGAGTCCGAGAGAGGTGTGCTTTGATTTGCTGATCTTTAGGGAAAAGAGCAAAATGCAAATTAAAAGAAGCTCTTGTCGTCTCTTTAAGGTGTGAGGTTGCTCTCAGAGAAGTTTCACAGAGGAATCGGGGAACCGGTCAACAGAGCAGCGGCAGTCAGACGTTCACCAGCGTCCTGTCGGAGAATCTCCACGCGTTAGCCACCTCCCTTCCCAGGCTGATGAGGACCTCTGACGACCAGAAAAAGCTGTTTGTCCTGAATGTGTTTCTGGGGTACATTAAAGTTCTTGGACCGCTCGTCTCTGTGGTGCTGAACTCCGCTGCACATCTGGAGAGGATTTCTAAGGCCTTGATGCAGGTACCAAAACAGCATCTTAAAAGAAAATTAGCCTTTAAATCATGTTGTTTTTACCCTGTCTGATATATTTTGTTAGTACGTCCGGAGCCTTATTTCAAAACTGAAACGAGTATCGCCATGTACTTTTACATTCTTCCATCCATTTTCTATGCCCACTTGGGCTAGAGTTGCCAATGGGTACAGGTCATCAGACCATCTCAGAGACTGTCTGGTTCTCAATTTAGTCTTCAAAACGTTAGCTTTCATCTGTGTAGATTATTGTAATATATGGAATTATTCAAAGCAGACGTCTCTCTGTGTGCTTGCAGGTGTTGGAGCTGGATGTGATGGATGTTCGTATCGTAGAGGAAAGGAGTTACTCCGGTACCATGGAGACAAACTCAGACTCCTGCACTGCTCACATACAGAGGAAGCATTTTCTCTACTTCACCGACGAGAAGATCTTCAGCGTGCTCATGGAGATCTGTCGAACGTTAGGTATCTAGTTGTATATGAACCTAACGGTTACATTTTAAGAGTGACTTATGTCTTTGAAAAATAAATAAATAAAAGTTGGTGTCCATGATTTTATAAAAGCCAGCAAATCTGGGTTAATGACTCAATCGAGTTTTCATTTTTTCTTCTTTCTGTGCTTAGGTTACTATGGCAACATCTACCTGCTGACTGATCACCTCCTGGACTTGTACCGGCAGTCGTCGGCGTACAGAAAGCAGGCCGCCATGGTGCTAAACGAGATGGTCAGAGGGGCTGCAGGCCTTGCTGTGGTGGCGCAGGGTCAGTGTTTGGACAGTGAAGCTCAGGGACATGCTGCCTCCAAGGAAGACCTTAAATCTGCAGTGGCCACCATCATGGAAGAGTACACCAGTCTGAGCAACTGGCACCTGGCAACTGTGAGCGAGGAGAGAGAGAGAGACTGTCAGGATGAGCAGGTGAGATTATACAAGCTCAAAGCCATCAACAGACAAATCCTGACATAGTTCAACCATATAATACAAAATTAGCTGCTGTCAGGATTCTGCCTCTCCTGTGTTTTGTGGATAGTCACCTTCAGACATTTTTCTTGTCAGAGTATTCTACCTTTTTTTTACAAATGATCACTGGTTAGATACGTGGTGGTGCCACTACAGCCGCTAATGATTTCTCAATTATTGGTTAGAATAATTAGGGGAAAATACTCATTTTAGTCCAGTGAGCTCCACATCTCAGCAGCTGGAAACCTTTGAGCTTCTTGATCTTTTTTTTTTCTCAGGGTTTCCACCAAAGAGAGCTCCCAAAACTCTGGCAGCTTTTCTGTTTACATGAACATCAGATCGCTCATCCAAGTGCACCACTGCATGATTCCAAGAGCAGAAATTAAAGGCATTAGTCAGGGGCCAGTGAAGGCCTCCTTTTTTTTGTTTGTTTTAAATTTCAAGATTTTAGGTTGTGAACAGAATCAAGAGATGTGGAAACTTTAATCTACAGAAATCACATTTTTATTCTCTTATACATAGACTTTAATCAGAGAAGCAGTTTTAGCTAAGTTCAAGCAGTTTGATGTAACATTTGTTTTTTTCTTTGCTTTCTTTAGCTGCTCAGCCCATCCACACTCCTCTCCATATCCAACAAAACCACAAACTCTCTGCACTGGATCCCTTCCTCATCAGCCTCCCCTCCACACCCATCGTCCACCTCCACCGTCCACCAGCTCAACAGCAACATCTGGCAGCTGTGCATCCAGCTGGAGGGCGTTGCCTGCTTCGCTCAGGCTCTGGGGCCCGACTTCCGCCCCCTGCTGATGGGCTCGCTGTACGCCGTGCTGGAGAAAGCCGGCGACGAGGCGCTGCTGGTCAGCCAGGCTGCGCTGAACTCCATGGCGGACGTCCGCCAGGCCTGCGGCTACGGCTCCCTGAAGGATCTGATCAACGGGAACTCGGACTACCTCCTCAACGACGTGTCGCTCAACCTGCAGAGGCTCAGCCAGCATCCACAGGTAGACCCGACAATGGCCGCATCTCAGAAGTGCTGCTGGTAAAAACCGTGCAGCCCACGGAGGTCTTTCAGCTTCTTTATTTCCAGGCCCCGCGCGTGTTGACGGTCATGCTGACTCACTCTGACAGCAGCCTGCTGCCGCTGGTCACCGACATCGTTCAGGACGTGCTGATGGCTCTGGATCTCAGCTACGACCACTCGGCCGGCCTTTTCTGCTCGGTGCTGCACGCTCTCATGAAGGCCCTGGGTAAGATTTCACATTTCTCATTAATTACACACACACCCCGGGGAGCAAGTGACTCATACCACAATATTACAGCCCAATTCTCAGGATGCTGTGGAGCAGGTATTCTCTGCATCTCGTGTTATGAAAAGCTCTTAAATATTTTAGTTAAACAACTCCAAATAGTGTTAAAAAAAAACCTATCAGGGGAAAACAATGAACTAAGGACTTTTTTGGCCCATAGGTTTTAGAATGTTTAAAAGATTTTTGCCTATCGCAGCTTCATTTGAATCATTTTAACCTGTTTGCGTGGCGTGCTGATATCTTGTTAATCCCTTTTTTAGGAAGGTGGTTTCCTCCCACGTGCAGCAGGATCGCTAAGTCATCCGGTTCCAAGCAAGCCCACGCCGAGCTAGACGATTTCGACATTCGCCAGTTCCTGCTGGATTACCGCAAGCAGAAAGACTTGGCAGAGGGTGTCGGGATAGAGGAGGATGACACAGAGGATTTGGGTAATGTGAAGCCTCAACCAGAGCAAAACGGCATGAAACAGCACATGTGTTGTAGCGTCGGTAATATCAAAGTGAAAGCAAATGAAGCACTTAGGGTGGCGGGATTCATCCCCCCCGTGCGTTCACTGTCATTCCAGAGGTCCCTCCTCCGACAGAGTGCGAGGATGCGGAAGACACCGGTGGTCCTGATGTGAAAGAAGAGCTCCCCTTACATCTCAGTATTACTAAAGATGTCATGGAGCGATGCATTCACCTGATGTCTGACCCAAGCCTCAGGCTCAGGCTCAAGGTATTGTGCTTGTGGTTGGAGCTCCCAATGAGGGAAGATCATTGATTTTTAGAAAAAAAAATCTTAATGTGTACAGTTGGCCATTTTATAGCAACCCTTTTTTTTGCGCAAGCTAAACAACAACTGTACTTCTGACGAAAAAATGTCAGCCTTCTGAATGATTGATTAATAGATTGAATTAACTATAACTATTATTGCTAAAATCTCAGAGGTCAGTGATGAATTGACAACTAATGAGCCACCTGGCAGTAAAACCCAGACGTAATGCCCTCAGAAAAGCAAGCACCTCATGTTTTGAACCGCATGGAGAATCTTAAGAAGCTGTGCCACAATATCTAAATGCCATATGTGCACAGTTATTTGTGAATAATGGCTGCATCGGTGTTGAGTGTGCCGTATGTCTTTATCCAAAGGTGCTGGATGTCCTGGAGCTGTGTGTGCTGGTAATGAGTGAGAAGGAAAATGAGCTGCTGCCCATGGCTCATCGCTGCTGGCCAGCCCTTCTGCAGAGACTCACAGCAGATGACCCATTAGCCGTCCTCAGAGCCTTCAGGGTTAGTAAAATGAATCTGCCTGTGCACTGGATTTTCCCCAATAAGCTTTCAAAAGAAGCTTTGGTTAAATATGTTGCTGAATTATAATAGACACCTGCACATGATGTAAAAAGGCATTTAAGGAGATTATAAACAGTAATTCTTGATTACTCAATCAGTGTCAGTTCATTATGCTCAGACATTAAAGTGATCCGACTCCAATTTTCATGATTATTATTTGGGAAACGCTTCATCCATCAAAGGCCGTGGCCGCAGGTGCTCATTACGTGTCACCGCAGGTGCTGTGTACGCTGGGCGAAACGTGCGGCGACTTTCTGCGGAGGAGGGTTTCAAAAGAGGTCCTTCCCAAGCTGAACTCCTCCCTGGAACGGCAGGCCCCCATCAGCGCCAAGGCCGGGCCGGTCTACACACACACGCTGGCCTACAAGATGCAGCTGGCTGTCTTACAGGGCCTGGGCTCCCTGTGCCAGAGGCTGGATCTGGGTAAGAGAATAAAAAAACACAATATGCTACCAAACAAAGGCTTACCGTGGCACAAAATCCAGAAGCTGTGTCAGATTTATAATATGACAATGATCATGACCAATATAAAGTGGGCAAACAGAGAGGACGGTTAGTCATTGTGCAGTCGACCATCTGGTTAAGAGTGGTTTAACTTAATTTGTTTTCAAGAAAGAATTATGATATGGACCTTCCTTTTTTTTCAAGTTATGCAAATAATAGCAGTTTTTACTGTGTCATTTGATCAGTAATAAGTGCTCAAAGCCTAGATTTTCTATGCAGTGATATTTTTTTGAGGAATACTGAATCTCCTGCAGGTTAAACACAAACCGTTCAGTGGGATGAAGACCCAATTTTGTGTCTTGTTTTCCTTGGCCACTAGGTGGCAGTCTTGCGCAGCACAGAAAACACACAGGGGCACTCCAACATGCGTCACTGTGTCTCATTTCTCCATTTCCATTGTCTTATTTAAGTTGGGCAGCTGTGATTTAGCTTTGCAGCTTGTAAATGTGCTCGTGAAACTTTGTGATGATAACTTACACTCTGATTATTGATTATTGTAACCATGGAGGCAGTGATTTTCATCACAGCATCCATTTAGATTTTTAAATTAGTATTTATTTTTACCGGACAACTGTTATGCATTCCATTTCCTCTCGGAGATAAATCATAATTGAAAATCATCTCTAAAAATAAATGCCAACTGGCCGCGGCAGCTCCGGCTCTAACGGTGACTTTGAAGACGCAGACCTCACTCCGCTGAGCCAACAGGAGGCTGCCCATCCCGCAGATGCACTCAGCCTCACCTCATCCAAACAGTTGTTCTCCCTCAAGCTTCATTTCACTGCAGCAAAGAAAGAATTACTGTTAGATATGCAAGGCGCCACAGAAGGGAAAGCAATTGAATCCATAGCATCGCACTTGTGTTTTTGTTGTTTGTTTCACATTTGACATCGTTTCAACTTCATTAAAAGTGGACCGCGTGCTCAGCGCCAGCGTAATTACGAAGATACTCCATTCATTTAGCCTGTAACAGACATGTAGGCTTCAGATGTCCAACTTTCCAATATGCCAAGAGGATATATTGTACTTTCAGGGGTACAACAGGACTCTTCATACAGGCTGTAGCTCACGTAGCTCACAAAAACAAATTTTTGTCATGGACAGTGACTATTTCAGAAGGAGTTTGGCTGCAATACTGGTGGACAATAGTTAGGCCGTTTGGAAATGTAGAAATCTGTTTAAAACTAGATCAGGGATGATGGTGTACAGTAAGTCTTATTTTGACAAAATGGGGATTTGATATTAGATTTGATTTTAGAGACACACATTTAAATGTGACAAAAGCACCTTGTTCCACATGTTCAACAACAGACCCTCATTTGCAGCAAAGCCCGCAAAATATCTGATAAACACAAGCATGCAAACTGCATGCAGCAGTGCAGCGAGATAGAGAGGCTGGACTGTAAACTGTACTTGTTTTGCTCCGTGAATCCGGCGCTAGCGCGGCCGAGGCTTCGCGGGTTGCGGCACACCGGGCGCGAGTCTGACCGGCCGAGCACGGTGACCACCGGGCTCTGCAGAGGTGGCGGCTCAAACACTCCCATGCGCAGACTGGACAAGCTCCCCGTGGCTTCCACATTCAAACCACACCACACTTTGGAGTCATTTTTTCCCCCAAGCTTTCACTCTTTGAGCTTCTGAATGATGTGAGACGGGCCTATGCAATCACTTAATACTGTTCAGCTGCCTTTGAGCAAGGGGGGGGAGGGGGCTGTAGAGTCTGGTTGGCTTACCCGTCCATCACAGATGGACACAGAGACAAACAACCACAGAACCACAGAACAAGCTAAATGCTGTTAGAACTGTAATGTTCACGTTCAGATCTGACAGTTCTCAACTTAACTAAAAGACCGTCTTTACAGCTACTTATCAGTCCAACGAAAAGCAAACCTGACATTCCGCCCCAGGGGTCCCTAACCACCAGTCACAACTGGAATCATTTGAGAATCTGTTGATTAGCTTTGAGTCGTATTGGGTTAGTGACCACAGATGGCTCTAAACGCATTACTTAAACACCATGCCAGTTAGCCTGCACACTTGGAAGCTGACAGACATGTCATTAAGGACATCAGCAAGCCCAGTTTCTAGCTCTAGTGGAGAATTTTGAACCTAAGAATGAGGCTTTGCTGGTCTCACCTGTGCGGCGGCCTCCTCTCAAACAGTCAATACCGGTGTTACGTTGTTTGCACAACTGTTAGCCAGAGGCCACTGCTCCGTTACAGTAATCAGCTGCTATTATTCTGTGAACCACAATAGAAAAAGAAACACAAACGAGCTCCATGGCTGAATACATGCGGTGAAGAATATAAACAGATTAACTCATAAATAAGGAATAATCATGTCTTTTTTTTTTTTTTTTACAGAGTAAATAATTTTCCTATTTACAAAGGAGTAAAGCCTGTTTCATATGTTAAGGGTTTACGTCACTCTGTTGTTTTAATAGTCGATAAAATGACTCATTCACTCCTGATCAGTGGGATTTTTGGTCTATGTTAATCAGTTTGAATTATCTTATCAAGAAATAGTTAATTTTTGCCAGGAATACGCTATAGTCATGACTTAATTCACCAAATGTTACCTTAATTTGCACCATTGAAACATATCTGGGGATGTTTGTGTAGTATATTTCAAATCTAAAGTTCGGTTTTTTAATCGTAAAATATCGGGTTATAGTTATAAATTTGAGTCTTCTGTCACATAAAAGAAAAAATGGGCCCCGCTTTAAGATTCACACAATGTTTTTTTCTTTCTCTGCGCAACTTGATGCTGTTCTCTTTCCTGTTGAGAGGAGAGAGATCTGGTGTCGGAGATGAAGAGAATACGAAAGAGCAGGAGAGAAACAGTCGGCGGCTGCAGCCTCACTCATGTGAATACCGATTTGGCTACAGCTTACCTCTGGGACGCCCGCAGCAAGCCAATTACCAGGCCTTAGTCACATAGGGAGAAAAGACAGAAACACGGATTGACTGAAGCCAGCGATACATTTCAACCCCGGCTCATACCCTCTGCTGCAAGTCCACAGGACCTTGCAGCAAGTGGCCCCCTCTCCTTTGGTATTTTTCACTTCTCCATTTCCCTCCGAGCACCTTGATTCCACAAAAGACTACAGGCTATATGAGAGCGGCACCAGAAAGGGAGGAAGAAAAAAGGGATAAAAGCGGTTGCTAAATAATCCCATTTAACTCTGAAATGTGCACTGCCGCTTTCATTCTCCACTCACAGCGAGCCGGCCTGTTCGAGCCGAGTGTGGGCTGAATCGGTAAATAGAGTAAGGTAGAGAGGGAGACAGACGTGTTTTGAAATGAGGTTTGAAAGGCAGCCCAGTTTGCAGCTTAGGGAATTGCTAAATGTCTGCTGGGACGGACGGAGGAATAGAGAGAGAGGGAGAGAGAGAGAAATGGGGAAGGAGAGATGAAAGTGGAGACGTATCGGCTGGATGGAGGAAGCCGCAGAGACGGTGACAGATGCTGGGAGTGAATGGCAGACAAAGGAGCAGAGGCAGAAGAAGAGTTTAAGAAACGTGGATGGATTAAAAAAAAAGGCAATTTTTTTTTCCAACATTTGGGAAGAGGTCATATGAGAAACCCAGAGACAAACAGCCTGATGTGAAATCTCAGATTCTCTCGGCTCGTTAGAGTCACAAAAGGTGACGTTCAGGCCTGGGCTGTATTATCCTCTTTATTCATCTTCTTCTCTTCCTATTTTCCCAGCCCATACCCCTGTATTCTGTCAACAGAGGCCATTTTAAGCAGCTACAAAAAAAACATACAGTCCCACATACATGGAGGCATGACTTATTCATTTGTTATTGTATCGGTTTTCCAGGTCACCCCGTTTCCCGCTCCTCAGACGCCGGGCTTCGCGGGGAAGAAAAAGCCGTACGCATACTGTAACTGTTAAGCGGAATGCTCTGAGGCCCGTGTGCTTGCTTTTCCCAGGTGAAGCAGACCTGGACGCCGTGTGCGAGGCTTGCCTGCCGTACCTGAGCTGCCGACAGCCCGTCAGACTGCAGGAAGCCTGCCTGAGGTAAACGCTACCAATTGCTTCGCTGGGAAATGGAGGCCGGTCACAGTTCATTTCAGATGACTTATTTTTTTTAAGTTCACCCGAAAAGGAAAACCTAAATCCAGCTGGATTAAACACTAAAGAAATGACATGTTTTTCTTCCTCCGTGCAGGTCAAAAACTTTTTCACCCAATTCCATTTTTCTAATGCTCCCAAATGTTATTATCAAGTCATTTAAATTCAATAGGGAAAGCCTTGGCTCGTTTTGATGGCTCCAAATACTGAATTTTAGTGGCATGTTTTGGTTTAAAGCCAAATTAAATAGAGCAAGACATGTCAGAGGCAGCAATTAGCTGAACTTGAATTAAAAGGATGGAAGAAAAAGCTCTTTGTACCGTGAATAAAAAGAATATGGTTATATTGTTAAGTACGGAGCCTTGCATAATGTCAATTATATATGTGTGTGTGTCTGTATGTGTGTAGGTGTGTGTGTGGGTGTATAGTTTTCCCGTAAAGGTGACAGTATCTTTCCCTTCTTCCCAGTGTTTTCCGACATTTAATCCAGGTGGATCCGGACACCTTCTGGTTTACCTTAAATGAGCTGCACTGCCCCTTCCCCTACATCCCACCCCACCCCGACCTGCTGCCCGTTCAGCTGAACGGGATGGGCAGACCCAGAGACCAGTACTCGGACAACGTGCTGAAGCTGCTCAGAGAGGAATTCGGCCCAGAGACTGAAACGGCTGACCAGCCAAACACTTAGCCAGCCTGATGTGGCCAGCTCGTCTTCCAAACTGACTCCACAACATGTAAAAAAACTCAAAAGAAACTCTGACGTCTGTTCTGAAAGGAGTGATCAGATGGGTGGTTTATTTCTTTTCTTTCTAAAAAGGCAAATGTTTGCTTTTTCATGGGATCAAAGCAGACAGATCCTCAACGTGCACTGACAGTACACGCATGTTTCCTCATTTCATCTGCTTGTTTAATAGGCATACGTTGCAGATGGGAATTTTATATTCGCTACTTATACTTGCTGCCTTTGATTCTCACTCTTTTTCATAGGGATAAATTTGGCACATTGTGCTTCAGAAACTACTTCAGAACTTTCCATTAACTGAAACCATCTTATGTCAGATGTTTTGGATGTAATCTGTTTTAAGTGGACACCTTTACAAGAGTTTATTTCAAAGGACTGTAAATTCTTAGATATAGACATCTGGAACATCCCTGAATGACACCAGTAAGATGTAATGTAATTTATTTCTCATTTTCTCGGCTCCACTGTTATCAGAGTTTCGTCCCGTGTGTACGATGCATTCAAATTACCATTATGAGGAAATATTTGCAGTTGGTATAAAAAATATCACACATTGATGTCTTTTTTCAAGCCATTGTGATCAGAATGAGTTATTATATATTGTTTAGCTTCATTCTTTATTTAGATGTCTTGGATCGTGCATTTAGTTGGATATATTATAACATCTGTTCTGCATATAGTTGGAAATATTATAACAGTCTTCACATAGTAACACTTTGTTCACAACGCGTCATGTTGCGTTAACAGTGGGTAATCACCTGCCAAGTGTGCAGTGAGTAAGTAAAACATATCAAGGATGGGTGGAAAATAATGCTTTTATCACTTATGTGGTTTCAGCTGTTGTTCGAAGCTGCATTACTGTAGTTTTCTCCTAATTTTGATTTACTGGATGTAATCCAGTCACTTTCATAATGGTAGTAGCAGGTTAAATTCCCATAGCAAATATTTATTTCTAAACTTAATGATAGATATGAGAACATATTTTTATGCATGAATGGTATCTGTAATATATTTTTAAAAGAAACTGACTTCTTGAATTCCAACAAGTATTTTCCAAGTAGGCATTTAGAAAGACATTTACTTATCACTTTCTTGGCTCTTAAGAGCATAACCTCATGTTTAGCATCTGTCTCAGGTCAGAAGGTTTTGCAGCAACTGGCCAAATCAAAGACCTGAGGACCAGGAAGCTGGCTAATATGTCACCGTTATCAGAGGCTTTAGAGTTCAACACGTGTAACTGAAACAAGCAGAAGATCTGCAGAGAAGCTGGACCCCCACCTCACAGCTCGGTAATGAATGCACGAGGCTTCTGGTGAGGGGAAACAAGATCAGTGCGTTTTGTTTTTGGTCGGCCCGGCCTAATGCTAGCGAGCCCGGCGCAGCACCTCTTTATCTCATCCAGTGCTGTTGCTATTTATCCTGCTGCCAGTGCTGACAATAGCACCATTAGTCATCAGCAGCAGTGGGAGGGGGTTGGGGGATGGGGGGGGGCTTTGGCAGCACCCATTACGCGCAGTCAACTGCTTAACATCGTTCCTCCTTAATGCACACGGGCAGACACAGCGAGGGCCGTACAGCTAACGCCGAACTGAGACAACACCTGGAAGAGATGGGCCAAACTCTTAAATAACAGGAGGCCTACCCAGAATGTACTCTTATTTCATATACAATTTATTTCATTAGATAAAGGCATACACTTAGCGCCAAAGGACCAAACATTCTTGAAGAAATGTACATTTCCCTCTCGTCTTCAACAGTGATCTCCTCTTTACGAAACATCAAATCAAAGTCACTGGTTGATAAAGGAAAGCTCAGTCACACTGAGGCCCGCACTGTCCATGAACTCCATCTGGGAGTCTGCACACAGGGAGCGGGAGCGCTGTTTTTTCCTCTGAGAGACGGCACAGCGCAGAGCTTTAAAACCTGCTCATGGCCCGGAGACACGGGATCACATCACGAAGCAGAAAAGAAAGTTAATTTCAGTGTTTCACCGACAGCAAATTTTCTCTTCCCTCTCAGTCTCCTTCCTCATAACTTTATCTAGCATGTTAACCCCATTTACTTTGTCCTAATTGATCCCCCCAGAGTGAAATATTTCCGAGTGAGCCACACATATCCTCGTGTTCCTCGTCATCGTCACAGAAAGGTTTGGAGCGTCGTACAAGCATCTAAGCAGAGATTTTGTTTAAAAATGGCGGAAATACAATGACCCATCAGAAATTTTCAGACCATGTCGCGCACATGTACAGGCTCTTTAAAGTATAGTTACACATTTGCGGCCTTGTACTGACAGTAGTTTCATAAACACTGCTTAAGTACTAAGATACATAAGGGAAATCCTTTTTCTGAGCAGCTACAAAGAGAAATGTGTCATTCATCTGTCTGTACAGCACTTTTGGAGAGCATTAAAGCAACAGAAAACCGCTTTGAAAAGAAAGAACAGATCATAGTGACAGGACCTTTAAAGAACAAAAGATTCAGAATAGACAGACAGCATAATTTTTTTCTCTTTTTTTTAAATAAACCAAACTCATAAATGACAAAATATACATAACACACACTCGCACACATACACACCGTCACTGTTTTTTTGTGAATGATTGGCTGAAAAAGTTTTTTTAAGAAATTGATTGAACATGCACTCATTTTATTTCCTATTATACAGTCTTATATACAGAATGGGTTAGAGGCTTTAAGTGAAAAGGATTGAGGCTTTTTTTTTAACAACAGATGAGCATAGTGTGTTGGAATAAGATAACCAAGATGGGCAAGGAGTACAGCACCGCTCTACCTTAAAAGTCTTTTATCTAATATTTCGACTGACAGATACATTTCAGATGCCCACCTAATCCAACAGTTAATTCTAAGATTTTACATTTTTTCATATCTCTCCAAACTAATGAGCCTATCAAGGAAAAAAACTGTATTTGCCTGCTATTTTCTACTCTTAAAACCACCCCGGACAAAACACAGCCCTAAATTTCCTTATTTGGTACTGAACTCCTGCCAAACTACCACTGTACTCACTCTGTTTGAAATGAATTAGGATTTAATCTGTCCTTCATGAGCACAGCTGCACCAGGAACCTGGATGGATTCCAGCTGAACTGGGGAAAGGGGGGGGGGGTAACATGGAGAGAAATAACCCGCTGAATTTAGGGTGTATCCAGCTTTCGTGTGATATTTATATCCACGAATGAATACACAAAAAGCTAGCTTTAGGCGTTAAACAAGTGAGACAGACCGGACGATATCTACAGAAAAGAATTCAGTTCGCACTCTCAGAATAAAAGGAATCTCTTTTACAGAGGGCGGACCCAGTTATAAAATGTTGCAGCATCCCTTTTCTTCAGAGGGTGACCCCGACGACACGGTAAGGCAGTGGAGGAAGCGTGAGCATGAGCGGTTTTGTGCCATTTACAGTATCCAAAGTACAAGAGTGAGACAGAGCACTGGTTAATAGTGAGACTAAAATCTGTGTTTTTCCTCTTTTTTTTAAATAATTTATTTCTGTTCTTGGAGTGGAGCTGCCTAGATCTACACATGTGCACCCCCCCACCCCCAACCTGCCGAACGTTAAGAAGCCAGGCTTTACAGACAGTGAGCAGTCCCACCAAGAGCCATGCACAGCAAAAAAAAAAAGCCACACTTCCTGCACTGTTCCCGGCCCGGGAATTTCTGGGGATTTAATTTTTTTTCTACGGGCCTTGCACGGTGCGGGAAGAATAGCTTTTTTTTCTTATTTTTTTTTTTTTAAACGCTGTGAAAAACACCGTGGTAAAAAAAAAATATATAAAAAATAATAAAATAAATAAATATTTTTTAAATAAATAAATACATAAATTAAAAAAAAGAAAAAATAAAATAAAATAAATAAATAAATAAAAAAGTTTAAAAAAAAAGAAAAAAAGAAAAAAGAAAAAAGAAAAACACCGTGGTACGTAATCCTCCTGCGATGTAGCTCTCGAGGGGGGGGGCGGTGGGTCGGTTTACAGGGTGCAGCTGGGCTCGTTGGTGCAGTCACTGTGGCTGTGGTTACTGTCCACCTCCCTCTTCTTCAGCTCCCTGCCGGCCTTGTGCTGCTGACCACCGCCGGCGCCGTGGCTGTGGCTGTGGCCGTGGTGGGCGGCCGAGGGGGGGGGGGGCCCGCTTGCCGTGCTCGTGGTGCTGTCCGTGACCGGGGGGCTCCTTGTCGAAGAACCTCGCGCCTCTCTTGGTGTCGTCGGCGGCCTCGAAGTTGTCGACCCCCCCGCCGCCACCGCCCCCCCCGCCCCCGCCGCCACCGCTGGCGTGGGCCTGGGGGAGCCGGGCCTCCGGCACCACCTGCAGGTAGGCCCGCACGCGGTGGTGGCGAGCCCCCGCCTCGTCGCTGAAGTCGATGACCCGGCACTCGTAGGTGCCCTCGTCGGAGGGCTTGACCCGGGAGAGGCGGAGCTTGTGGGAGATGTTGCTACCCACCACCTTCACCACCTGCGAAACAGAAGAGGAGGGCTGATCAGGAGGGCTCACCGGGGATTACCCATGTCGTGGAGAATTTTCTTTTGTTTCTTTGTCGAAGCTACTGGTTGTTGATTCCTTTTTAGGGAGAGTCGTCTCACACGTCTGGAGAGACTGTGGTTTTAGCACCACTAGGAAATGCAACAATTTCCGTAATCCCATCAAGGATGAATCTCCCATTGCTGTTTGTCATTGAAATTGTACGACTTGCCCTTTTGTGGATCCTCACACCCGTCAGGCTCAGGGACTCAGCGAGGACTCAGGAGCAGAGCTAGTTTCAAAATCCAAAGTTTATTAACAAAAGGCGCACTCAAAAGGAGTTGACAAAAAGACAACACAAAACGCTCCAATAACGGAGGGCAAAGTACAACTGAAAGAGGCTCTCGGAACGAGGCTAAGGGAAAAGTTACAAAACAATACGGATGTACAACGTAAATCTCTCACGACGAGGCAATGACAGAAACAAAGTAGCAACAAAAAAAAATATTCACTAGAGAATGATCGTCTAGGAGGCAAAACGAAAAGGCACTCTTAAAGAGGCAAAAACGCAGGAGGCTCAAAGGGCAAGGAACGGGAACTATGAAAGGTTTCTATGACTAGGGAACTGTGGACGAGACAGGCACTGTGGTTGGGAACAAAACACACTGGCACGGGACAAAGGGAGACGAGGACTATTTAACCACATGAGGGAAGGGATCCCCAGGTGCAGACAATAGGTAATCAGGGAGACGCTCAGACTGGTGACACAACAGGAAGTGCAAGTGACCTGAAACGAGATGAGGGTTATTCTACAAAATAAAACAGGAAATGACGAGACTAGAAAAAGACGAGACGAAAACCCCTCAACCAGGACACCTTCGTGACAACACCTGAGAAGATTCTCATTTTGACCAATCCACATGGGGCCCCCTTCCTGTCTCCTAAGAATATGCATAGCCCTGTCCTTTTGGAGATTCTCGATGGGACTTCCTGAGGACTGAAAGTAAATCAGGATCTCTTTGTTTGTTGCTGATAAGAAACACAGTGGCCTTTTTCCATTCTTTTATTCATACGATGTTATAAAAGGGGACGTGCCTTTCCATCGGCGCGCACTTACTTGGGTTTACTCTGTGACCTGCGTCTTCGAACGCTCTTGCCTTCGAATAAATCTCTTTATTGGACAAGATCGATCTTCTCTAATTAATAGGAAACTTTGCCTCACTCTTTTAAAGAACTTTTTCCATAACACCAACACACCCTGTTTTAAAATATTACCACAACACACTAAAAATACAAATGGGGGAAAGTGAAGAGCGTAACGAAGCAGTTTTCATAATCTCGGATAAAATAGATTGGAAAAGGCTACCCAGTGAACAGGGGAACAAAAGGTCCACAGCATCTCCTATCAATGTAATATCAACCCAAAAACTAGACTTATGTACCATTGTGCATTATTAAGGGAATATTGAAACATTTTCTCTTATCGCAGCAATCTTTAATATCTCACATTTTGACATCCCGAGGCTGAACAGAAGCCATAATTACTGTATGAGAGTGAGCCAGCGCTTAAACGTGCAGCTGTAGATGCTATCAGTTTGATAAATGAAAGCATATTAGCTAACAATGTAAGCTCCTCAGAGGGGGCTTATGCACCAACGCAAGGCTGAAATTCCAATATTTCAGTTTAGATTCGGAGGAGGAGGACAGGAATAAACTATTCAATTCATTAAATGAAGAGAAAATCTGTGAGCCAAAACTGTGAGGACATTTGCGAAACATTCATTTTCTTTCCTTAATAACGATGGAAGAAATATGTAGAAAGGACCTTCATGCATTGACATCCCTGGTACATTAATATCATTTGAGGTTTTCAGTCCCTGAATAAGTGCTCTTATTTGGTCTGTTTCTTCTGTTGCAAAGTTTTAACTCCAAAATGAAGCATAAATATGAGACCATAAATTCCTCCTTTTTGCGAGAAGGATAATAATAAGAAAACTGTGTTTATAAAACGCACTGATTTTCACAAACAGACTTCAAACAAACAAAAAATATTTCAAAACTACAAGGCATCACAAAAATAATTTCTAGTATGATCCGTATGATCCTCTAAATGATTTTTCATGATTTTTGTATGCATATCTTTGAGGTACTTATCTGAATGCTGCTAGTTGTGAACAATAATGTTCACAATTTTAATCAATACAAGTATCCAACTATCCATTTGCTCATTTCTAGTAGGGTCATGGGAAACGAACGACCAAACACATTTACTCTCACAGGTCATTTAGAGCCTCCAATTAACCCAATATGCCTGTTTTTGGACAGTGGAGTTCTCTCTGCAGTTCCCACAGACAATATGCAAACTCCACAAAGAAAGGCCTCCGACCCCCAGGGATTTGAACCAGGCACCTTATTACTGTGAGCTCAGCACCACAAAACCGTCAGACCCTTGTTAATTATCAAAGGAACCACTTATGTTTTCCTTTTTCCCAGTTATTGCAAATCATTTCTTGAATTCTTGGTACGGGCTATACTGGAAGTCAATTTCTCCCTGGAGATCAAAAAAGTATATTCAATTCAATTCAATTCAATTCAGATTGATCTGTTTGTTCAGAAAGAATACCCATATTCATTGTATTTTCACTGCACTTTCAAACAACATTTATTCAAGGTTTTTGGAAAGAATGAGAGAGAGAGACAGCGCCACGATGCGTTTTCAAAAAAGGGAAAAACCTTTTGCGACTGTCATTTTAGAAGAAAACACAACTATTTTCAGTAACTGATGGCATGTGGGACAAAAGTTTACATGTTTTATTCAATCTCATGTGCACCATCTTCCCGTCCTTGGTGCGCGAGCGTTCATAAAAAACAGCAACCCTGAACAATAACGGCGGGATTTCAATAGAACGTATTTATAGCTGGCTACAACAGACGTGAAGTGAGAGCTGCACAAAGAAAGAACATGATAGCTGCGGCATGAAATGTGGCGCTGAAATAATTGCCATATAGACCTGAAAAACACTCCACAGCAGCCTCTCCTCACAGCCAATCACTCCTACTCACGCAGAGTCAGACAAAGGTGCTGCTGATTTAATTCTATTTGGATCCTTGAAAAGTCTGAAGAGACTTCGTCTTGGAGGCAAAGGTTTTGCAAGTTCACAGAGCAGCGCTGGAGAGATGATGAGAATCTGGGGACATCATGAGATGTGACGCACCGGGGATATAAATACAATCCCATTTGTCATCCACCTTCCTTCTTATGGCGCTGGTAGATGTTAGCGCGCGGCAGGATTCGTGCCGGCGTGTCGTAAAAGCTTAACCCCGAAGCTTCACTGTTGGTGAGTTTGTGTCTGAATGTGTTCGAATCCCTCATGTTTTCTGTTTGATTACGGCGACGTGAGCCGGAATCCGATATATTTGGAGAGCTCATAAAGATTTTCCAGCTGTACAGCCTGCAGTGTTTGGCTCCACCCACACAAACACACACACACTCACACACACACACACACTCACACACACTCATCCATCCAAGGCGCAGCTGGTGCATTCATTAAAGTGAACCAGCAGTAGCTACTCTGTAGGGATGAAGCAGAAGGGCTTTTGTGTGTTTGTGTGCGTGTTTACGCTCACATGTGAACAAAGAAAAAATGCATCTTCACACATGTTTTACCTCACATACACGTCTTTTTTAGCAATTTTCTCAATATTGACGCCGTACGAAGGAATCGTGCAAAATGTGTTTAAAGGGAAATAGTCAAAATTTGAAGTCCTTGTATGGTTGTGAGGTGGGTAACCGCAATGGGAACACAAAGCTGTCTGTCAGTTTTAGTCGCTGGGATGTGTTGTTATGGCCATAAAGATGGAGGGGTGTTTATTAGAAGCCTGAGATGATGCACTGCTAGCCGTGCCCCCTGGAGGAGCGTGCTTAACCACCCGTGATCCCCGCCACTGCCTGCTCTTTGGCTGACAGCCATTCTACAAAGCCATCAAGGATGAAGTGAGCATGTTTAAGTGTCATCTGGAGCTGTCGCGGCACTCAGAGCTACATCACACTCAACATCTGTGGATCATCCAGAACAAAAAAAAAAAAAAAATTGTAATCATAAGCATTTTGTGCCTCATCTCATCGCGCAACACAGAGGCACACACAAGGGCATTCCCGGGAAAAATAGAGGGGATGACTCACGCTTATTTTTGTGGCATCCTTTGGCATCTCCTCCTCCGGAGCCACCTAAGAAAAAAACAACACACACATTTAGCCTTTAATAATGCAGATTTATTGTTGTTCTGACTAGCAAATATATACAGGCAGGATGCATGTGATGTACCCTTCAATCCCGGCTGGTCATATTTTTTTGTGGAAAAGGTAACACAAATCTGCCTTAATTGAAAAGGAATTTGCAAAGTGCTAAGCAGAGCGATTGATTTTTTTTTATACATCTCCACAAACAATGAACAGAACATTATGGTTGTGAAATAGCTCGACCGTGTTTGGAATCCCAAACAGCTTTTTGTTTCGTTATTTCTTTTAGACTTATTGTGCCAATGCTGCAAACAGTAAATCAGTAAATCTTCTCAAGGTTAAAATGGGAAAGGTGCTAAACGAAAATGAAAACATTAGAAAACTGTGCTTAGAATTAAATCAGGTTCTAAATAAATAGTTACAGATTTGTAGCTGAAACTATCCAAAAATGCAACTCATTTTTGGATAGTTTCAGCTACAAATCTTTTTTATTTAAGAATAAAAAATAGCCTTCGAGCTTGCGGATCAATGGAAAACTGTCTTTTAGATGAAGAGGCATTTACATATGAGGGTTTCTGTTGTGAGCCTACCTCATTAGTTGCCCAGGGTTGCCGGTCCGTCCAGTCCAGATGGTTCCTGATGTACCACCACTGGATCTCCAGTGAGTAGGACGGCGTTCCCGCCCCTCTGAAGGAGCAGGCCATCTCCACATCCTGACCTCTCTGAGCGGTCATGTCATGAGGCACCTCTGTGAACTTGGCTGCACAGACACAGAACGGACATGTTCGACAAATGAGTTCTTGTTGTTTCCTCACAGGCAGATGAAGTGTTGATGGTGCCCTATAGAGGCTGCACCAAAACCGATAACAATGTTCCTGTGCTCATTAAAAAGTTACATTTTTTCCCCCATTCATCCGCCTTACTTCTATTCTTATCAGACTGGAAAAAGCAAACATGTAAAGCAAAAGTTTGGGTAAAAATCTGAGTGGGAACCAACTCATAAATGAGACATTAGCACAGTGAAGAGACACATTTGATTCTGGAAAGCCTGAAAAGAAGAAGGAAAAGAAGTGAAGTGCAGTGGGAAAGCCTCTTAGTGTTGTGTTTAATTTTAGAAAAACCCCAAATTTACAGAGGGATATTTTAATATTAAGTTCATATAAAGAAGTTCAAATTTTTAAATAATCTACTTTATCTCAGTCCTGGAAATCTCATTAGTGTTGTTGAACGATAGTAATAATTTCCCATTTGATATCAAATAATCTAACTGATGCATGTAAATCTTCGGAAGATTGGGATTTATGCTGAGTTTGTGTTTAGTCATGAATGATGACAATAAGGATACTCTAATGGTATAAGGATGCTAGTATGTACTGTCACAGTCTTGATTCATTCCTTAACAGTTTTGCTTTGGGTCACATTGCTCTGACCAGTAAAACAAAGGTTTGGAAATTCTCATTTTTAACATGTTTTGTTTCTGCCAGCTCCTGATTCGAGTCCCTATGAGAACCAGAACCTTTCTGTGTGGAGTTTGTTTTCCCTGTATCCGTGTGCCGGATGGTTTGTGCCGGCTGTTAAGGTTTTTTAATCAGGCCTATTCAGGAGAGGTTTACGTCAATGCGAAACATCAATCCAGCAGCTCAGAATTGGAACTTTCTTTTTAAATCCATACTATGGAACCACAGGGAAAGAACATGCTTTCCTGGCTGTTATGATCTGGACTCCTCCGTTATTGTCATCATCACTGTGCTTCACTATGCTGTTTGGCTGTGGTCTCATATTTCCCACACGGACACCAGAGTGGCTATCCCTCACCATGTGATCAATATTCTAATCTAATTCCTAGTAAGAAAGCGAACAAGGATATTTTTCAAAACGCCTATACTTACATTTAAGGAAGCTTTACTGGCACAGCAATAAGGAGCTTCTGTTTGACCCCCATAACTAACATTCTTAAATGAGCTGTATATCAGGAGGTTCCGTTAGACTGAACCAGCTTTTAGAGCCTCATGCTCTCACACCTGGAAATACGACATTTAATTGAAAATGCAGCCAATCACTGGCTCTGAGTGAATAATAGATAAACGGTTAGCAAAGCAAAGGATGATATTTGCAGCTAAATTTAATGGGAACCTCGCTTCATAGTTTTATTTTCTTTTCCCTCCCGTAAAAAGTCATAAAAAACGCGTCTTAATTAACTACTTGACAGCAACAAAATGATGTGTTCATTACAAGTTATTTAATACAAGAACAAACAACTTCACACCTATTCACCACACATGACTGCAACTGTTTGCAAAACAAACATAAATAATCGGGGGAAATGAAATGTGCACAATACACACATAATTATGCTTAAATATGATAAAAACATGGTTGTACATCTAGTCCCAAAATATGCATAATGCAAGTTCATCATGCAAGACATTTGTAAGTTTACAGCCAAAGGAGTCAGCATACAATAGATGTGACAAATTACCTTCATTCATCCAAAATATGGATGAATCTGAAGCCTATAATAAGTTATTTCTGAGTTAAAAACCATCTAAGTTTCTAGATAACTTTATATCAGATGAATCATCTTTCAATAAACAATGAACAATAGCACAAAAAGAAAATGCTGTTTCTTCATGTTTTCTTTGTTTTGTTCAGGTTTGTGTGTGCTTCTGTTCAGATTTATACGTGGATAAAATGTTTTTCCATACGGGTCAAGTTGACACCTCAAGCAAGGTGAGGACATTTTTACACAAGCACAGGCACTAAACACTCTCACTGTAATCTCAGGAGTCCAAACAAAGCATCCGCCTCAGTGAACACTCTCTGGGGTTGTAATTTTTACTCTGAGAAAATTTATCGAGCATGAAGTCCATAAAGCAGAAAAGGAATTTCTAAACATTGTTTCTTAAAGATATAAAGAACTCAGAAAATGGAAGGAAACCGTGTAAAAAAGTACTTATTTAGCTGTGTTTTCTTTATGGTTTTGACATCCAACTTGCTGAGGCCTTTTAAACACTGCACAGAGGATACTTGCACACATACAAAATCATACTATTTCAGTATAAAATCATATATTTGCAGCTAGAATGGTTATAGGTGTTGTCAGTAAAAGCTAAAGGATGAATCAAACTCCATCTCCTTGGTATAGGGGCTGCTGTCCTGCAGGATTCAGCTGTTTCCCTTATTCTGATTGACAGGATCTGATTGAAAGGTTAAGTTAAATGGTGCATTGATTCGAATCGGGTGTGCTTAAGCAGGGAAACATCTGAACCTCAGGGACCAGAGCTAAACAGAGAAATGTACCCTTTATCCGACAAAATTTATGTAAATATTTGATTGGGAATCCACATAAATGCAGAAAATATTAGTTTAGTTGAGCCAGAGACATAAAGAAGTTGCACACTGGTTGGCCCTGATCTTCAAAAACCAACTAAATAAGAAGTCCAGATCCCACCAACCACTAAGAGTCTACACCCACATTAGAGTTTTGTCTTACAGTAGGAAAAGAGGGTTATCAAAAAGCCAATTCAGCGATATAGCTGTGGGACGCCTACTCTTACAGTGATTGGCAGTGAAATGAAAAACAAAACACCTGAGTGGACACGTTTATTATCACTGTGCTCTGAGCTGAAAGAGTGAGCGTAGCCTAAAAGTAAGTAAAAAAATAACATTTACTAACCAACTTTCTCACACGGATGCTCTGAAACTGACAGGAGCACCAATTTACCAGCCAGCACAGTCAAGTCGAGTAAAAACAAAGCAGTTTTTCTCTGGAAGTCGGTAATTGCGGTCCACTGCTGTTAGTTTTGAATGCCATCTCCTCCGGGTGGAACGCCATTTCAGAGTCTCCTGTGTGAAATAATAAACACTTTTCCGCTTTCCATCATAGGAAATGAGTCAGTCAGTCAACGTACCTGCATTTGAAATCACAAATTTGGGGTTTTAAAGGTAAGGGTGAAGATATTGCAAACATTTGTTTTAGTGTGTGGTTATTTTTTTATCCATTTCTTTAAGCCTCTCTCTTATGCTCACAAAAAATCCATCCACCCATTTTCTAAAAGCGTCGTGGGGGGGCTGGAGCTTTTCCTAGCTGGGTGGACGAGTCGCCAGTTATTCACGAGGTCCAGCAAAATCAATGTTTAGTATTTGTATACTTTTTGCCATTTTATTTCATATACACAGAATTATTAAGTCCAACAGGGTACAAAAGTTGTTTTCTAATTTACTTCCAACTGCACTTCCTTTTTCCTCACCCTAACCCCTTTATCCTATTAAAGATAGTCATTGGGAGGTTTCTAATTTCATGAAAAATAATTCATATTAAAATGAATATTAAAATGTTGGCTCATACTCAACAAAGTATACTACAAGTCAATGTCGATCCCATAGAAAAACAGACATTTTTACCATCTTTCCCATCCTGTGCCCACAGCCTCTGCTAGTTCACAAATAGTTTACAAAAAGGACTTCTGAGTATTTAAATGAATTATTGAAATGTGTGAGGAAATCAAATGTGACTCCAGCTTTCACAGCCGCTGACAGGTTGTCTGCTGGGAAATCCAGTCAGACAATTCCACAAGGAAAACGCGTCCTTTAGATAGGCTGATATTTAAAATAAGTGTTTTATTCTGCTGTATCTGCTCTTGTGTCTGTATTTCTAATTACGGAGCAATTCAAAAGGCTTCCACAAACTTTGCCCTTTACCACGTCCTCCTACTGAGAGATTTGTCTGGATCATTCAGTCAATGAGACGTACGGAGTCTGTGCCAGGATCATGCCGATGTTCATCTTGGTTCACAGATTAATGTCGCCCAGCGACGCTGCAGTATGGATCTCGTGAAATGTAAGCAATACAAGCCTACAGTCAGACATCCCTGTTGTACATTGATAAAATCTGCTTGTATTTTTCATTTGTGAAATCTGAAACGCACTGGGTATCGATTTGACATTACGCAGCCGGCAACAATGCCCCCAGCCCCTCTCTTGTAGATAATATTCAAAGCCCAGACATTAAAAAAAAAACGCTTTGGAAGAGACTCCGAAGATGCTCTTAGCAATGATAATCCGTCTTCTCTCACTTAGGTCTGAAGCTCACAATGCTCGACGCAAGCGCACAAGCTGACTGATGTTTCCCAGACTGAGATCACAGGAAGATTTTATAACCGTCATTTGTCTTTTATAATGTGGAAGAGATCATTCTAACCAAAGCCTCTTGCTATAACACATGCTAATAGGAAAATAGCGCTTTATTTCCAAACTTCCTTGTCGATTTAAAAACTGCTTTAATTGTGGGATAATGGACACATTACATGTTATCAACCATTATGCACTGCTCTTTAGTAATCCTCTATTGATTCTTGTGTAAAATGTTGCTCTTAATTGCTGCATCTATTAACAATGGCCATGTCTAATATCTTTTGTCATTGCCGAGGCTGGAAAAGACCACTTGGGTCTATTTGCCCCGAAGAATCCCCATGATCCCCAAGATAAAGAGCAAAAGCATCATGGCCAACTTCTGGAATCAGTACATTAGAGCCACAGAGCAGAGGCCAAGTCAGGCCTCACGCTAACCCATTTCCACCGGCCGAGCGTGGAAATGACAATGAGAAAAACAGATTCTGCATTTGTGCGGTGATCAAAAAAATAAATCATCGCACAGAGATTGAAACGAGTAGTTGGTATTAATGAGAGTCGGGCTCCGTGTGTTTGTGAGAGACTAATATATTGCACGAATAAA